ATGATGGAAACGCGACTGATCGCTTCTTTCCCTCTTTCCTACGCTACCCTCCTCCAAAACTGCTTGGCCCTTCCTCACTGAGTCAGCTAAGTGCCCCTCCTCATCTCCCATGATATGTAATCACTGACGCGCTGTTCGAGACAGCGTATACTTCCGGTTGCCACGATCCGCCACTCCGACGCCCCAGCTCGCCGTCAACTGTGTTGTGTGGGTCATCTGGGTGCACTGATCATTGACTAACTGCTGTTGCTGTCATGCCGGCCCGTGCCCCTACGCTAGCGACCTGACGGATTGCGTTACGGGCGCAGATGTTGATTCGCAAGCGGCAACAACGACCAAGAACAGCAAGGTGCGTGCGAACAGCTGTTTGCAGAGTGACCGGAAGTCGTCGGTTCTCATTCGGCCAACTGCAAGCATCAAAAGTGGTGACGTCATCGAGTTTCACTGGTGATGTCACACATGTCAGTGGTGGTGGTGGGGGGTGGGGGATTCGGAAAGGAGAAGCTATTGTTTTTTCGAAATTGTGGCGCACCCGCTACCTGTAGCACTGCGGTGTGTGGAATCGTTGATCGCGACGGCATTCTGCACGTGATGCGCTTGTTTACTTGAAATGTCTGGGAAAATATCAGAGGGGGTTTGGGGCCCTTTAACAGATACGGTCCAGATAACTGCAATACTATTTTTTTTTGATGCAGACTTAAAGAAGCAAACTACTGATTCAATGCTGGTAAACACCGACTTCCAGAAACGCTTGTTAACGATTTCCATGAGCAAAACCAGAATTCTGCTCCCAAGATTCACTAGGATGTAACCACCTCTTGAATAAAACGAACATCGTGAAATCACTCCTGCAGTTCTCCCACAATAAAATTTCTGCATTTTACATTTAGTAGAGGGTAATCTGACAAGGCTTCAGCTAAAGTTTCGGTCTTCTTCCCTGTCTACCACATGACAGCTAGTACAATCGGTAGCTGTAGAGTCTGGCTGGGCAATAAACTGACTTTTCAGTCAAGTATATCAACTTTTTCAAGTGCAACTTTAAATATAATAAATGGACCTCTTTCACAAACGTGAAGGCAATAGACGGACAGACCGATGCCCATTTTCGCTAGGTCTGTCCGTCTGTCGACTTCACATGCTGCAATCACACTTGGAACGGAATACTACCTGGCCTATACACAAACCCTGCTTTTATGTTAACTTGGCTGGGCCTACTGTCAGCATGACAGTGCATGCTGTCCCAAGCATTCATATGTAAATGGATGCTACAAGGTACAAGCTTCCTTTAGACGCAATACAGCTGTTAGTCACGTGCAGTGAAACAATGCGTGATGGCGATGCAATGAAGTGCATCCCTGTTGTGATGTTTTCCTACAAATACTTTCAGCAGTTGCCAAGCAGGCAAAATAGGATGACGTCCACATTGTCCGCAGTCTACCGAAAATGGGCATGATGTGGGTCAGGCAGCCCTTAAACAAAACAACGGTGCTGATTAACGCAGGCAAAGAATAATTATCCTTCGCTCAAGTTCCTCTGAACAAGTAGTACTGTTTAGCCAGCACAGATTTGTACTTCCTGCCTCGTTTCTGAACGCTGTGCACTTAGCTGAGCTAGGCACTCATTCAGACGCACTTTCAAAAAGACAATTGGAAACGACCGCGTGCATAATTCTGTGAGTTGTAAACAAGCTGGATATGATCATCCGAAGACCGGTTCACTTTGATTGATTTGATTTGTGGGGTTTAACGTCCCAAAACCACCTTTGATTATGAGAGACGCCGTAGTGGAGGGCTCCGGAAATTTTGACCACCTGGGCCGGTTCACTTTACAACAGGGGTGCGCGAATATTTGAGTTCTGAATTAGAATCGAATAATACCTAACCAAATAATTCTATTCGACTTTCAAATAACTAGTACCGTAATTACTCGAATCTAACGCGCACCTTTTTTACGGTTAAGCGAGTTCATAAATCGCATGCGCGTTAGAATCGAGTACGAACAAAAAAATTACGGTCAATCCATTGCCATCGCAAATCCAAAATGGCCACCCCCTACGTGCGTCGGCATGGTGCGTCGGCTATTTCTGCCTATGTGTTTACCATGTGCGGCACTTCGTACATGTGCTGAAGAGTTCGTCATCTAGTAGTGCATTAGCATCGACGACGTGGAAGGGCCGACTCCAAAAACTCGAGTGCACCACGATGCCGCTTTTAAAAGAAAAGTCATCGCGTGTGCAGAAACGGACGGAAATCGGGCCGCATCGCGGTCCTTCTCGAAACGTGCGTGCGGGACCGGCGGGAACAAAAGCAGAAGATTGTCGACAGCAAAGCTTCACGCAAAGGCTTCAGTAAACCACAGCAGGGTCGGTTTCCTCAAATTGAAGAGCTGCTCCGGGAGTATGTGCTTGAGGAGCGAGTGGCACAGCGGCCCCTGACGACAGAACTGCTCCAAGTGCGGGCTATGCAATTAGTCTTAGAAAAAAGTCTAATGCGGAGCCTGTTAAAAGCGAGCAGGTGCTGGCTAATTAACTATATGAAGAGGAAAGGCTCTTCCCTCCGAAGGGGAACATGCATATGCGAAAACTTTTGCGGAGAAGTACGATGAAAAGCTTTACAGTTTTCAGAGGTTCGTCCTAAACTTGCGGCGCAACAACGGCTACCTGCTTGGGCAAATCTGGAATGCCGATCAGACGCCTCTTTACTTCGACATGCCTGGCACCACAACTGTCGAGAAGAAGGGGGCGAAGCAAGTTCGCGTGCTGACATCGGTCCACGGTAAAACTACAGTGACGGCAATGCTCTGTTACACGTCAGATGGGCACAAGCTTCGCCCGTACCTCATATTTAAATGGAAGACAATCCCGAAAGGAATCGTTTTTTCGAGTGGTGTGATCGTGCGGGCCAGCAAAAAAAAATGGGTGCGCGTTGCAATCGATGTCTTACGTTTTTTTTTTTTTCGCGGTAGAAATCGGGTCCGCGTTACAATCGAGGGCGCGGTAGAATCGAGTAAATACGGTATTCAAAGTTTAGAATATTTCAACAAGACAATTCTCATTATCAGCCTGACTACGCCCACTGCAGGGGAAAGACCTCTACGATGACGAATATCTAAAACACGACAAAGGCCAATGGTGCAACTTGGTTATGGGTGGGGTTGTTAAAACTGGCACGTCGTTACAGTAGGTATTTTGTTGAAACTTCTCTCAAAATTCTGGTTCAAAACAGAGCGTGTTTATTTTAATGTGAATATCATTTTTGCATTTCAGGGGGGAGAAAAAACCTTGAGGAAACTGTCAAGCTCTTCACAACATTGCTTCCGAAATAAGCACGGACTTCTTGCCTAGTTTTGTCGTGTATGCTGCAAGCACCGTAAAATGTCCGAACTTTGGCTTGTGAAACAATCGGTGATTGGCTTCGAGTCTGAAAATTTGTTCATGCTGTTGAGCCACCCCTGTCGCACTGCACCGCTGATTCGGATACTCCCATCGTTCTGGTGCACAGTTAAGCACTGCTGCAAAGGAGCGCCTGAAGATTTTCTGGCCGAGAGCACTCGCTCATGACGATGAAGCTTAACATTACTGTTCTTCCTGCTTTCAGCTTTGAATAAAATTTTTCGTATTCAATATTCGTATACTACAGTCGAACCCTGCTACAACGAAAGTGACGGGGCGCAGAAAAAATTTCGTTGTAGTGAAATAGAAAAAATATAGCTGATCTGAGCTAGCAAAACAAAAAAACATTTATTCTCAAAATTCAAAAATGTCTGCTGCCGTCTATTTTTTCCCAGCAGCGTCACGACGTCATTCACACCCATGCATAGCACGGCCATGGTGAAAAGCGCACTAAAACAACGCCTAAAACCACCTTCGTGAGCGAACTAAACAGTTGCATTAACACCTTAACGCCAGCAGCTGTCCGCCGTCAAAAATATAAGACAACGCCGAGACAGAGGCAGGATACTGTGGAGCGGCGACTTTTGCCTTGTTCTATGCCATTCTTATCATCCATCACTCGTGGCTAGCTGATTTTGTTGATAATGGGGACAAAAAGCCACTCTGATTAGTTACCACACTGACTAAGCGTGAACATAATGATAAGCATCGGAATCGTAAAACGGTTGTATACAGCAGCTGCATGATGGAGACTATAAACTAAATGACTGAGCTTCAGCTTCGGATTGCCTGCGGCTCAAAAGCAAGCCAGTGGCAAAAGCAGTGCAGTCTCATTGCCATCGCTATCGAGCAATGACGGCGCCTATACTTGCTGAACAGCAGTGGTATAGCGGCGTTTTCTGGTGGTGTCAACGCGTGTTTTAGACTTCGTTGACGCATTTTCAGGCTCTGAAAATGCATCGAAATGTTCAAAATTGGGTTTACTGCATAGTATCTGAGCCTGGAATTGCATCGTAAATTTCGTTGAAGCAGGACGATCGAAGAAAAAGTGTTCGTTGTGGCGACAATATTTATGCATTGACACCTATGGACTGCTGATGGGGAATTGTGAATTTTTCACTGTAGCGGGAATTTTGTTGAAGTGGCGTTCGTTGTAGCGGAAGTTCGACTGCACATTCAATAATATTTTTGACCACTATTTGGCACAATTCAATTCGTTATAAAATTTCATCATTTGCACACCTTTTTTAGAGTCACAGTGTTTCCATAACATTTTGAATTGGCCTTTGGAGGAAGTAGAGATTGGATGGCACGGTTTCAATAGATCCAATCAGCTGGTGTTGAAAGTCATTTTAACCTTTTCAGAAATTGTCAAAAAGCAAATGATGAGACCCGAAATCACACTCATGGGACACTCCCCATAATGATACTATTACCATAGTTGAAGAAACGGCACAAGAAGATACGAACGGGCCGTGTTAAAAACTTGACTTAGGCACACACACATTCTCAGTCAACTTGCCATGCAAGAAGCATTGCACACAAGACAAAGCACGTACACAAGCACACGCATTCGCCACACCGATAAAATAACTCATTCCACAGGCAGTGACACTTGAGAAAATTAGTTTTTATGCACAACAAAAGAAACTGAAGATGCCGAGTGTATTAACGATCACATCACAAAGTTATAAATGCCCTGGCAAATGCAGCAGTTCTCGGAAAACTTTCAACACGTTCCAAACAAAGGTGCACATGGGTTAGTAGAGTTGCCGATGAAGTGCATTCACGGGTGCTGCGGCCATGGAAGATGGAAGGAATGCTGGTGTTACTGCCCGAATCACACAGCCGTCAAGTGCTCCGTCACGTCACCATCACGCCACTTGGCGTCTCTCATGGTACAGTGTTTTACTACGAGCTTTCTCCTCGCTAATAACGAGACACTGACAGCTTCAGACCGATTTTCCGAACGTCCCTTGCATCTAGTCTGGATCACATTTCAATTATTGTTGAGGCTTTCAGTCTTAAAGCCACAATATGATGCCAAGACGCCGTAGTGAAGGGACTCCAAAAATTGAGATCCCTAGAGGCTCTATAATGTGCACCTATATAAAAGCAGACTAGCCTCTAGCACTTCGGCCGCATCGATATGTGGCCGCGACGGCTGGAATTTCATTCAGTGACCTTCGGGCCAGCTCATCTGAATTGAAATGTGGGATGTCACACGACAAAACCAAGATATTATGACGTGCGAACTGTAATAAGGTGTTTGTGTTGCTTGAAAAGTGTAGTTAAACACGACATAGTACACATGCACATACTGTCTTGCACGAATCCCACGTGTGAACCCTGTGCAAATTTTGTCTTTTTTCTTTCTTATGGATCAATCCTGCCTGCTTCCCTTAGTGAGCGTAGGATCAAAGTAGGGTACAAAGTAACTTTCCTATTTTAAGCCGACTTTTTTTTCACAGACCCGTCACAAAATGCCACTCATAAAAAAAAAAGGAGCTACGTTTGTGCGAATATCCGGACGAATATCACAGTATTCGAATCCACTTCGATTTGAAGTTAAATTATTGAAATTTTCAAGGTATTCGAAATCAACGAATAAGTGTACATTTGTCGGCGTGTAACTCCGGTAAAAGTGGCTTCCACTGCAGTGGAGGCATGCTAACCCGTGAAAGCATCTGCTAAAATGTGTATTAATTTACACGTAACATTTTGCAAAGGTGGTTTCACTTCAGTGGAGGTGTGTTAAGCCCTAAAAACGCCTATTTAATGGAATGCCGCGACATCCCACTTTAGGGTGAATGAACACACCACACTCCCTTGATTCATCATTTTTAAAGTTTACAAGCTTCTTTAACCGGCTTGTAGGCTCTAAGTATAGTATATATTTAAACGCAAGATATATTGTAGGATATTGTTTGCATTCAAAGAAAAGTCAAATCCTACTACTATTCAAAGTTGTCTCCACTTTTTTGAACAAAAAAGGAGAAGAAGAAAAAAAGATTTGCACAGGCCTCGTTTTAGTTTAAAACACATACATATTGTGCAGGTTAGTCTGGTCATGACAAATATGCCAATTTTCCTTTATAACATGTCATATATACTATTCAAATTACATTTGAAATTGTTCGGTGAAAGTTTTTATGCACTTCAAATTCGCTTGACAGATAGTGGTGCCCTAACAGACGTGACGGAGCACTTGATGCTAGGAATCAGACTTGACGGTCACTCGAGCAGTGCACGATGCAGACTGTGTTAGGTGAGCGTTATGGGTGAGGGGGACGAACGGTGAAGAGGCAAGGAGAGGAAAGGGTCAGCATCTTCACGTGGGCAGCAACAGGAGAGGAGGGGGTCGCACCTCCGAGCCGTGCTCGGCCGACGGGCCGGCTCCGTCTTCGTCAGTGTCCTGGTCGTCCGTGCCCAGGGCGAGGTCGCCGTCCTTTTGTAGTCGCTCGCGGGCGCTGGTGAACACCGACTGCAGCACGATGGAGTCCTCATAGATGAGCGAGCCCTCCACGTTGTACGTCTGGGCGTTGACACAGAGCAGCATGAAGTCGTCCTCCAGGTCATCCAGCGTCCGGTACCGGTGCTCACGGATGCGAGCCTAGCGGGGAGAAAAATGAGTCGTATATATCTCAGGTATTCCAATTTAAATGAACTTGGGCAGATACGCACTACTGGCTGAGGAAACAGTGGAGCTAATGGTGTTCCCCTCCTACTTGCTTTCATTTTCATATCTCAAACCCTTGCTCTGCCATACCATTATACATGTCGGTGCAATGCTTTATCTTGTCCCCCTCCTTTCCTTCATCACCACTCCTCCTCACCATCACTTGGATTTGCCGCCCCATGCTGTACTATATACTGCGCAAGGTTATGTTATGTTTTCCTCTTCCCCCCTAATTTCCCTCATTTCGCTTTCCCACCTCCTTGCTTATACAGTTAAACCTGAATATAACAAAATTGATAAATTGCCGGAAAAATTCATATACAAAGAGGATATTGTTATATGCAGGTTCGGTGCGAAAATTTGAAAAATAACCGAGCAAATTAGACACAAGGGGGACTGAAGGCAGAGCTAAACCAAAAACACCCATTTTACAGTAAAACAACTGAGTTATTATTGCGATAGCCATTATATGGACGCTCTCGGCGAGTTTGTACCGTCGCCGCCATGTTATGTAACAAGTCGAAATTGATAACATGCCCCCGCACATCTTAACTTTCACCTGCTGGTAAAAGCGCGCGAGTGCTGCTGAAGCAGAGATCAAATGAGTCGGCCCATCCCTATCACCTGGAAAGTGCATAAGATAACATCTCACGCATGTTATAACCGCCGTCGAACGTTCAAACAGAAAGTAAACCACCTGCCTTGAACAAGCAAGAAACAACGCTGGGAAGGAGGAGGGGAATCGCTCGAGTAGTAATAATGAACTTAGATCTTAAGGGCAGTCATCGCTGGCGTGCTTGCTATCTTGGTGAGTATCAGTGCGGTTTCAACGCAAAGGGATTGTGTGAAAAGAGCAATTCTCCCTGGAGCGGCTGTATTTGCTCACACCATCGTTTTGTAGGAGTTCCACGATATCGGATCTAAAAGAGTTGGCTGCCAGCCTTACTTATAACATTACAATTCAATGTGCCAATGTGTTGTTGCTAGAACTAATAAATAGGCTAATCGCGAAAGCTACCAGCCTGCGAACTCGCGGCGCAAGACGGAAGCGCATGACGAGTCGACCTTCGAATATCCTTAGTCACCGTGGTCTCTGAGAGTTTCCATCAGTGCCTAATCTGACATCCCCTCGGTGGTGACGACACGGTTGTCCGAAATTGAGAAAAGTCACAATTTCGCTGCAAGGGCAAAGCAGTGCGATAGCAACAACTTGGAATTAAAGCTGAGAACGGCAAGCACATTGAAACGGGCAGGGCGCTGCTCACACACGAATGGCGCACGAAAACAACATACACAGGACGAGAGCGAACTAACATTTCCGTTAGACACTTAACGAGCTGTTTAAACAAAAGCGAGGCATGAAATGTAATCACAGGTACAGATATGAGTGCGACCAACAATGTGCCCCAGTTGTTACTTTGCTGTGTATCACGTTGCTGCAAAGCAGTGGCACGTACACGCCCCAGGTATGTGCCACTGTTTTCTGGAAAGTGTTTGACGACGCTTGTGCGCGCACGCTTATCCTTTGGTGAAGAAAACCGCGCGCCTTCAACTTTGATCGAAATGATTGTGTTTAGTTCCTGGGCGCACAAAGATTACTTCGCTCGCTGGACAGGCGCCGTTTGCGAAAAGAGTGCGCTTTACAAACACAGCGAAGTAACAACTGGGGCATATTGTTGGTCGCACTCATATCTGTACCTGTGATTACGTTTCATGCCTCGTTTTTGTTTAAACAGCGTGTTAAGTGTCTAACGGAAATGCTAGTTTGCTCTCGTCCTGTGTATGTTGTTTTCGTGCGTCATTCGTGTGTGTGCAGCGCCCTGCCCGTTTCAATGTGCTTGCCGTTCTCAGCATTAATTCCAAGTTGTTGCTATCGCACTGCTTTGCCCCTGCAGCGAAACTGTGACTTTTCTCAATTTCGGACAACCGTGTCGTCACCACCGAGGGGATGTCAGATTAGGCACTGATGGAAACTCTCAGAGACCACGGTGACTAAGGATATTCGGAGGTCGACTCGTCATGCGCTTCTGTCTTGCGCCGCGAGTTCGCAGGCTGGTAGCTTTTGCTGTTAGCCTATTTTTTCTGGCAACAACACGATGGCAAGTGGAATTGAATGCAATGAACGCAATAGCAAAAAAATTGTAATATTATAAGTAAGGCTGGCAGCCAACTCTTTTGGATCCGATATCGTGGAACTCCTACAAAACGATGGTGTGAGCAAATACGGCCGCTCCAGGGAAAATTGCTGTTTTAGCCCCCACCCCATTCACAGGGCAAAGTACGCGTGGGAGATAAGCGCGCCTTCGCGTATTGTGACGAACTGGGAACCGTGCGCGGGTGGCTTTTTTGATTTTCTTTCTTAAGTTTTCATTATATAGATACGTATACATATTGTCACAACGTGAAGGCGCTGTGTTTGATCAAAATTCGAGATTACAGGTACGATAAAAGCTCGCTAATTTGGATTCCATGAAACCAAAAAAAAGGAAGCCCAAATCAACCATGCTTCAATCCATCAGAAGTACCAAGAAATTAGTAAAAAAATTGTTTATAAAATCAACACAATTCTATTTTCATGCTCAATATGTAAATGCTGTACGCATGTTATATAAGAGCAGCGTAAAAGGCGCAACTTTCGTCATCCTGTGACGTCTTTCACAACGCTACCATTGCGCAAGATGCCCGTGTCTTAATTAGTCCGATGTATGCCCAGCATTCCACCTCGCTATGCACTGCCCCCACCACCACCACCATGCGCACATGACGATACTTTTTTCGTTGGTAAATGAACGAATTTTGCCACTGCCGCTGAAGTATTGGGCCGCCAGGTTCATGAATGTGCATGGTGACTACGCATTCTTGAATGCCTGCCACCAACGATGCATCACATGCGCTGGTAAACGCAAATGATGCATTATAGCTGTTTTGTCATTAGAATACGATTCCTAATATCACGATGGCAGTGCGGACTGTGCTACATGGTTTTGAATGGTCGCAAATATAGCTTTCAGTCTTTTGTGCCGCCCATTTGCGGTGCTTCGGGTTTAATTCGTTTTCAGGATTCCCTGAATGAATTGAGTTGCGACTCAACATTAACGAATGAACAAGAGTTTGAAGCGCAGACTAGGACCTGAAGAACACGTTTGAATTATCCAACATTTCGAATCAACGAGCTTGTACAGTTTTTGTATTTTTGACGCTTCTAGCACGAATGCACACAAGTACCTAAGGTGCACATTACTGCGAGGTGCACCGACAAAAACTGTCCTCACTTTGATTTTCTTCAGATCGACGGGTTTCTTGATGACTTCGTAGTAGTCGGGAAGTTCCCTCTTTGATGGCAGCTGCAGAAAGGCCTCGCTTAGTACCCGGCTATCACTGCGAGAAGGAAAAAACAAAAACAAACATGGAACACTATAACAATATTTGCACTCGCACTTCGCGATCACTGCTTTCATCTCCACAAAGGAACATGCCAGCCTTTAGGGGACTCAAAGCCAGCTCTCTCTCTCTTTTTTTAAATACTGTGGCACAGCAAGACAACTTCATGTTTCTGATTATCAAACACAACACTTACAAAAATGACATGTTGTAGGCTTCAGCCAGTTCACGTGATACAAGCCCGCAGAAAATTTCCATTCTGCAAAGGCAAACACCGCAGCTAGCACCTCTCTCTCTCTCTCTCTTTTTTTTTTTCAGGCTGCCAAAACCAAGGCTATGTCAAGCTTATGCTATTATACTACAATATTAGCAACGTCTTACTCTGCAACGCTCCAAGAGTGAAAGAAATACGAATTGAATGATGCACTAGTCAAATGTGTCTGCACACCAAACATGCACTAGGAGGCTCGTGCGCCAAAAATAAAAATATAAGGCTCATATATAGCAACCAATCTTATTTCCACCTCTTGTTTTTTTTTTAATCATTTCTGTTTGAGCCTTTAATGCACATTAAAGGGCGAGCAAACAACACCGAGGTCCAAAAATTGTTATGGAGAAATATGTGCACCTTTGCCTTGTGAACATTTGTGCACATGCTGCCGCAAGAACTTTGCGAATACAGAAATACCTCGTTAACTCGAACACGCATGTCTAGAAAAATCACCTAAGTCGAAATTTTCTACGACACCTAGCATTTTCCTATACTTCCCATGCATATTTTTCCCTTTATCTCAAATTATTTTTGGGTTGGATTGCGGATAACTCAAAATCTTGACTGGAAGTTGAATGAAAATTCCGCCACCAGACCATTTCACTAAATTTGTGCGATGCTGCCACGCTTGAAGTCTGTCGATTTTTTTCTTATTTAGCCGCGCCTGCCACTATGTCGATGCTTTCTGCAAACGCAAAGTGCGTGAAGTCTCAGCCCAATCACATCTCAGCTTTGAAGCAACCCTGTGGTTCGTCATGTCACACATGCGCTGAGCAGAAAGGCCCTCTGTCCACGCTTGGTGTAGTTTGTCTCGTTCATTTTGTGCAAAGCACATTATTTTCCCTGAAGTTAAAAAAAAAAAAATGTCGGAGCCTGTTGATTGGCTCTTCAAGGCTAAAGGAACAAAGTAAGGCTTGCGGCTATGGAAATATATAGGCTTGTGGAAATATTTGAATTGTTTGAATATTTGTGCAAATATAACGGTATTCGAATTTAAACTTTTGAAAATCTCCAAGTATTCGAAATGAGCAAATACAGTCGACGTCCGATTTCTAAGACCCTCAATGGACCGTAAAAATGTTCGGAAAATCAGGCAGTTTGGAAAAACGAAAATAGGTCTTTTTCACAGACAGAGAGGGTCGCGATAGTAGTACAGAGTTCTGATTACAATTCAGCAAATGCATTCTTTAGGTGGCTCTGAAAATAGCTGGGAAAAATAAAAAATCGGATGTGGCCGGCTCAACCGCATTTGTAAACCCTTAGGCACAAAAAATAAAGTCACTTATTTTCGTTTGCATGGCGTTCCACTTGCCCGCAATGATGTCTGCCACAATTTCAGTTAACGTCATGCTGTCACTGTACATTGATGACAGTGTCAGTGCTCGCGTCATCTCTGAGCTCGTTGGCTTTATAGACTCTGCCTCTTCGATCTCGGTGTCAGAGTTGTTGGAATCCTCCGTAACTTGACGAATGAGTTCGTTATTGGTCGATTCCGCTGACAGCTTGAGGTTTTTCTCAGCATCAACAAAGCCCTCAAGAGTTATCCTGGCTAGAATCGAAACACCGGCAACGGGCAACGTCCGCGGGTGGAAGTTTGTCGCACACTCTGTCCACTCCGGGCGAGACGGCTGTCTTGGCGTCCAGTATGAAGCTTGTGTGGCGAAAACAGTACCGGAGGATTTGCTGCATAACTGCCTTCCACGATTCTGTAAGCATGCCGATGGCAGGCCATAGTTAAACAGCGTAGCTTTTCCTGCTGTCGGACCACAGGCTGCACAGCACTATGAAGCTACGGCAGGCAACGAATTGGCGTGCTCTGGATTGCGGCATTTTCTGTTTTGAGGGTACGGCAGCCACAATGCGATAGATTTGAGGATCCAAAACAACTAAAGTGGTGGCGTCGATAGATGACTACGAGTCTGCGGTTAGCGGTAAAAAGTCCAAGAAATCGGATGGCGAAAGCTATCAACGTTCGGAATTCGAACTCTTTAATACATTGACTATATGGGGAACTTTGCGGTGCCACAGATGAGTCCGAGAAATTGGACGTCAACTGTAGGTGCTACGAAGTCCACATGTAACCTCTTGTAAAGGAGGTTTCACTGCAGTAGAGGGGTACTAAGCCGTGAAGACACCTACCCAAAGGAAATCCGCACAGCTGCGCAAGTTCAAATTCAAAATTACACGAACAAGCAATCCTCGCATCTAGTCATCATTTTTAAAAGCTTCTTATACCGGTCTATATGCTTTAAGTATAGTAAATTTTAAAACGTAATCTGTCTTGCAGGTTATAACTTGCATTCTTTTGAAAGTTAAATCCTGCTACTATTCAAAGTTGTTTCCACTTCCTTTGGACTAAAAATATAAAATTTGCCCTGGCCTTGCTTCTGAGAAAAATATTGTGCAGGTTAGTTATTGATTGATTGATACCGTATTTTCTCGCATATAACCCGCACCAAAAATTGAAAAAAATCGCCTGAAAAGTGGGGGTGCGGGTTATCTGCGAATAATCCGGAAGCAGAGGTCGGCTTCACGGCAATGCATAGCCTGCCGTGCAGTCCGCATCCCCATCGGCATCGTCTGGTGCAAAGCCAATAAAAGCCAACATAGGCCATAGACAGATCCCGTCCGTAGCGTGTTTATTCACTTTTTGCGTGCTTTGTTTGATTTGGTCAACAGCGTCACAACAGCGATTTGACAGCGTCTGTCTCAGAGTCAGGTGTGGCCAGTTTGCACCGTTGGTCAGCTTTGTCTGGTGAGGCACCATGAGTGGGTCTCGGCGACAATCTTTCACCGCGAAAGAAAAACTCGCGATTATAGCTGCTGCGGAAGAAATCGGCAACAGAGCTGCTGCGAGGAGGCACGATGTCGACGAGTCCTGCATTCGCGACTGGCGAAAAAAAAAGGCCTCTCTCGAAAGTGCACACAAGCAGAAGCGAGCATTTCGCGGCCCGAAGACTGGTGCGTACCCCCTTCTTGAGACGCAGCTTGTCAAATTTATTGAGGAGCGGAGGAGTCGCGGCCACGCTGTGTCAACGGAGATGGCGCAGATGGAAGCGCTGAGGTTGGCCCGCGAGATGAACATCTCACGCGAGTTTCGTGCGAGCCGTGGATGGCTCCAGCGATTCATGGCCAGGCACGGATTTTCGATGCGGCGGCGAACGACTATGTGCCAGCGGCTTCCCAACGCCTACGAGGATAAGCTGTTGAGCTATCAACGTTACGTCATCGGGCTGCGGAAGGAGCACAACTACTTGCTCTCCCAGGTGGGAAATGCCGATCAAACGCCCGTGTACTTCGAGATGCCCATGGACACCACTCTGCAGAAAAAGGGCTCGAAATCTGTAAGCGTACTGACGGGCGGAAACACCAAACTACGCTGCACAGTAATGTTGTGCGCTTTGGCGGACGGTACCAAACTGCGCCCGTATGTAATCTTCAAGCGCAAAACGCTACCCAGCACTCCACTGCCACCAGGGATTGTTGTGCGAACCGAAGATAACGCGTGGATGAATGGTGACCTCGTCTGTGACTGGCTTCGCACGATCTGGGAGAAGAGGCCGGGCGCCATGTTGGCACGGCGGTCGGTGCTGGTGTTGGACTCGTTTCGAGGCCACTGCACTGACGCAGTGAAAGCGCGCCTCGCTGACCACCGCACCGACCTCGTGATCATACCCGGTGGCATGACTTCCATGCTACAGCCACTGGACGTGTGCCTCAATAAGCCGTTCAAGGCGCACGTGAAGCGGCTGTATGCCGAGTGGATGGCCGACGGCCTTTACGCCCTCACACCGACGGGGCGCGTGCGGAGGCCAGACATTGCGCTGCTGTGCCAGTGGATCGTGGATGCGTGGGGGGCGATTCCGGCCGACATGGTGCGCAAGAGTTTCAAAAAGTGCGCCATCAGCAATTGCTTGGATGGCACCGAAGATGATTGCGTCTTCGAGAGCGGCGACGAAGCCTCGGATGGCAGCAGCGACAGCGGCGAGTCGGGCGATGATTGAAGGAACGGGAATCGGCGCCGTCAACGTTGCGGCGATCGCTTCGAAATAAAGTTCTTTTGTAAACGAGATTGTGACTGTGACTTCCCAAAACAGTTTTTTTTAAGCTAAGCATGCGGGTTATACGCGAGGATTTTTTTTCTTTTTTCGGGGAGTTCAAAGTTAGGGGAGCGGGTTATATGCGAGGGCGGGTTATATGCGAGAAAATACGGTATGTGGGGTTTAACGTCCCAAAACCACTATATGATTATGAGAGACGCCGTAGTGGAGGGCTCCGGAAATTTAGACCACCTGGGGTTCTTTAACGTGCACCCAAATGTGAGCACACGGGCCTACAACATTTCCGCCTCCATCGGAAATGCAGCCGCCGCAGCCGGGATTCGAACCCGCGCCCTGCGGGTCAGCAGCCGAGTGCCTTAGCCACTAGACCACCGCGGCGGGGCGTGCAGGTTAGTTAGATAATGACAAACATGCCCTTATTTTTTTTGTGATAATAAGTGATGTATACTATTCGAATTTGATTCGAAATTATTAGATTGAAATCACTATCCGCTTCGAATTCATTTCAATCCCGAAATCCACTATATGCACAAGTCTAAAAAAATAAGATTACCACAAGATTGGTTCGTGAATCCTGGAAAAATTTATTGTATTTACTTGCATAATGAACCCACCGTCTTTTTTTCAGAAAAGTTGACACAAATTTGGCGGGAGGGTTTATTACGCGGGAGAAAAAAAGTCACGGGAGTTATAACGACAAAAATTTGGCATGACGGTATTAAGAAACTCGCTGTCGAACCAATACTGGCCTTCAATAAGTGGCCAAAATACGAAGCCCTTATTTGAGAACTTCGCTCTCCATAAGAAGAGAGTGAAGAGATGCTTGTGCGCGGGCGCTTATCCTTCGGTGGAGAGAATCGTGGGCCTTCGGCTTTCGCCGAAAGGATTGCGTTAGTTGCAAGGTCCACAGAGATCACTTCGCTCTGCTGCACAGGCACCACTTGCAAAAAGAGCGCGCTTTCCATACACAGTGAAGTATAACAATTGGGACACTTGTTAGTTTGCACTCATCTGTACTTGCGATTACGTGTCGTGTGTTGTTTTTGTCTTAACAGCGCATTAAGTGTTGAGCGGTAAACGCTGTTAGTTCAGTCTCGTCCTGTGTATGTTGTTTTCATGCGTCATTTGTGCGTGAGCTGCGCACGGCATGTTGCGGTCTGCTTGCCGTTCTCAGCGTTACATTCCAAATTGTTGCTATCACATTCATTGTTTCGCCCTTGCGGCGAAACTGTGACTTTTTTCCCCCCCAAGGACTAAGGTGGTGGTGGGGGGGGGGTTGATTACGCGAGTAAATACGGTACTAACGAGTGAGCATGAGAGATCGGGATAATGTTGGTGTTTGAATACAAGTCACATACTGTCTCAGTACATTTGCATCACAAATTTAGCACAGCTCAGAGGTACATGAACACAGCTCAGAGGTACGTGATGCCTGACCTGTCCTTGTAATTGATGACTATGTCGATGAGCTTGCGCATCTGCTTGGTCAGAGAGGGCGGGTTCGGAGAGGCCTTCTCGACGGGTGGCCTGCCACGGCGCTTCTTCACCACGGGCTCGTCGTCCACAATTTGCCTGGAAGGGCCGCTTTTGCGCTTGCCCCCCCGCTCACCGCCAGAGCTTGACGGGACGCCATTGCCACCGGACTTGCGGGAGCGCTTGCGCGTTTCCATCTCATCCAGGTTACCATCCTCAATGGCCTGCATTCGTTTTTCGCGAAAGAAAAAAAAAAGACACTACCTTAGTCGTTTATCCAACGTTAACACAACAGCGTGACACAACACTGTTGCGTTTTGTAATGTGATGGTTATGTGCAAATCCTTAATTAAAGAGTAAGTGCTAGGAACATTACACGATGCACACAGCTATGCTTGTATACTCACATTTCTAAAAACTTAATTGGAGTGCAAACACATGATAGTGTGTTGTGTGTTTGCTCTCAAATTAATTAAGTTTTTGGAAATGATCTACCAACTTGCCCAACAACAAGTTCTGTACACTCACACACACGTGCACACAGACATAAACACATGATAAGCTTTAAACAATGTCCAGAAGTAAATGCAAGATAAGAACAGTATCTTTTTTTACTTTTTTTTATCTTGCCAAACCCATCAGAAATAATGGTGACTCGTTTACCCAAGTTTCTTCTATTTAGATAAAGAGAGAGAGATAAATAGAGAGGAAAGGCAGGGAGGTTAACCAAGCTTGGCTCGGTTGGCTACCTTACACTTGGGGTGGGGGAAAGGAAGAATAATGGAAAGGAAAGAGATAGAAAAGAAGAGGAGTAAGAATCAGAAAGATGAATGTTCAGCTCAAGACTACACAGAGCGGCCTCGCACTGTTCTTTCACAAACGATTTTGAAGTCTGGTGGTCCTTAAGAAGTACAAGAGGGCTTTCGTGGCTTTGCGCGTATGGGAAACTGTCGGCCAAGATCCCAGGATCTCTTTTGTAAGCGGCCGTGAATTTAGATAAAATTTCCTATTAGCACACAGTGCTGGTATTATATGAGCAAACACAATAAAGGCTGATTCACACCTGCGAACAGTAGCGGTCACGTGACCCAGTTTAGTAGCAAAGTGACTGGTCTCAAATGGACACATCCTTTGCAAAAGAGCTACTACTGCTCAGTCGCTCGCTGCTTGACGCATACGTCTGGACCAATCAGAGGCACAGGAACAGGACATCAGCTTATAATTCAAGGCAGCCGCAATGTGAGCAAATGTGAATTCCGAGTGGCTACAAGTACAATTCACACGCAGGTATGAACAGTGTTCACCTCGAGTCACCTTTTAGTCCCTAGTTCCAAATGGTTCCATGACTGGTGCTAGTCAAAGGTGTGAACTATTCTTAATAGCCACTTATAATCGCCTTCAAATACCTTAAATTGCAGAGGCGGGCAGTTTGAAACAATGCGTATTTGCAGTTTGGACAAACTGAGGCGCAGGACGAGAAGGACCCAGTAGCAGTGCCTACGTCAGGAACAACTCCAAAGGTACCACCCCTGTGTTGCACACTTACCCGAAGCCATTCCTTGTCGGTGAGTGCATCCGAGTAGTCGATCTCCTTCCGCTGCCGGTTTCCTCGCCCAAACAGCTTGTCCTCCTCTTCCTCATTGGTTAGCCGCTCCACCTCGGCGTCGTCCTTGAGCAGCCACTTGGGCAGTTCGTCTTCCTCCATCAGACGAGGCTTCCTCTTCACACTGCGAGCCTCTTCTCTTCTCCGGTCAATGTCCATTTTCTGGGATGGTGGCGAAAGGGGGCTTGCGTTAGAGAGGCACTGAACCCACCGTCAGGTTCCTGAAGGCTCAAAAAAGAACAGCTCAACTTGGAGGAAGAAGCACCGAGCCATGGAGAAAAAAAATGATCAATGTAACAATAACTTGGTTTTGATTAATAAACTATATGCTGAGAACTTGTGGGGGTGCTGCCACCCCCCCCTGTAAAGTTGTCTGCGCCGCGTGGCGCACGTGTCTCGCCCCAGGGCGTTATTTCGGTGGTGACCACCACCGGGCGATAGATGGCGTTGTGTTCGCTCTGAGTACCACTGTTGGTAGAGTGGCAGCGCCGGTGGTGGCCCCTGGCGGAAGGCGGGCCTTGGTGGTGGGCGAGCGTTGAGCGAGTCTCTTCTGCGCGTGGCGGCTGCCGCGAACGGTTGTCTGTAGCGCGGGTCCCCGGTGCTCGGCACCGCGGGCTTCGCGCCGGGGTCCCGCGTGTAGGGTCAGGCGTTGGCGACGCCGCCTTGGGTATGTGCTAGTGTGTTGGGTGTGTTAGTGTGGGTTTATCATGTTATTGTGTGTTTAGTGTGTCCCTGCGTTATGTTGTTTTATGGTAGCGAGTTAATTAAAATTGATGTAACATTCGGCGGACGATATCATCGTGTAAATTAGTTAATAAATGTATGTATGTTGTGTGCTTTGTACCGACCGTGTCCACAGTGTCCGTTGACTCCAAGAGCGTGGCGTGGCGATGCGCGCGTTTCGCCTCGCCGAGACCCCACAAACTCTAATATCGTTAGTTTCGCCATCATAAGTTCATTGTTTAAGAATAAAAACCAAGGCTGAATTTTTTAATTTCATGCCGAAATCTCACAACATGACATCACGAATTTGAAAATGTATTTTTCGTATTTTTGCGACATTATAGAGTGATGAAATTTTTTTTAAAACTTCTTATGTTAGATCAATGGCCCCCAAGATGACAACGTACTTCATTTTTACGAATTAGCAACTTCGTACGGCCTAGTAGACACCTTCAAAATTTACGACACCACGGCGCTTGGTGTGGGAATCTCAAAGTGCCGTCTCCCCCTGCATTTTCTTTTTGCGCTAGCTTACCAAGCGCCGTGCCGTGGTAAGAGGGTCATTTTCGAAATAGCGTAATTGTACTTTACTAATACTATGCCATAAATCATTTTTCTCTTTAGTGCCCCCTTCAAGGGACAAGGAGAGAGCACGGCGAGCCAGGCAACAAATGGCCGGTAAAAAAAGTCACAGTTTCAATCATAAAGAAATGGGCACGAACAGGGCATGCAACATGAGGGCAGGACGATTGTCAGTCATTGAGAAAAACAGACCAGTGTGATTCCAACATACGCTTTTTTCGTGATGTAGCTTACCTGGAAGTTTGGAGGTTGGTAAAATGTTCGCTGAAGACTTCTGACTCGTGACGAATACAAGTATCCTCTATCTCCGCTCATTTGGCGCTGCTTTTTTCAGTAATTTCAGCGATATTCCGGCCAGTTCTTGGCTTCATTTTGGGGCACGAGTAAGTAAACCCCCATTCAAAAACGTAAGGTGCCGCTTCAGGAAGCCACAAAAACTTTGGCTGGTGAGTTATGTCTGGAAATTTAAACTCAGCGTAGTGTCGCACCTGCCGACCGTTCCTGCGAAAATAATATTTCTACAAACAGTCGCTTCCTTCACATTGTCGACCTCATCTTCATACAGCCCTCGCCCATTCGTGCAGCTATTCTTGGTCAGACAGAGCGTTGAAAAATCGAACTTTTTTTTACACAGTATTGATTCACAGCTCGAGGCAGTTTCCACTCCTTTGTTAAATCAATTGCAGTCTGCTCAAATGTGCTTCATCAATGTCTGTCTTTTTTTTGTTTTTTCACGTGCAGTAGTTCTGTATGGCACTGTTATGTCGAAGAACGTGCAAAATCTATCCTTAAGCTACACAATGAGTGATATTAGGCACGCGCTTAGCTACGATTACAGATCGTCTGCTTTTTTATTTCTACCACTTCATTCCTTTCGTTGTCCGAAGAGCATCTGATCCAACATATATAAATAAAAATGCTGCTATCAAGATGATCTCTTTGCTTCGTTTTGTTTTGGCAAACTGGGCTGGTGAAAAACATTCATAGTTGCATCCAGTAACATAGTGCAATCGGCGAGTGGCAGATGTAGCAGATGACACTAGGGTGCTATCGGAAATTGCAGGCGCGCGCGCGCTCTTTTTGTGGCGAAAAAACGATAGTTCTGTGCGTCACCGCAAGGATCGCTGCATGTATGTTTACGCTGGCCCGGAGTTTCCCCTCCTGTCTTTCTTGCTCCATGCGTTAGGCCATACCTGAAAAAGCTCTAGTTCTTCCTCGTTCCTGGCAATCATTTCATTGATGGTTTCATCATCTGGCACTTCATTTTCTTCCTGCAGACAGAAAAAAAGAAAGGTCGATTGAAAGAAAAAGACAATAAAAACGTCTCTGTACTTTTTACAAACAGCTTTCGCCCTCTGTGCGGTGATACGGACTCGTGTGTCTTTACAGCAGATAGCTGTCTCACAAATGCAAGCTCACATAACTTTGCAAAATATTAGGAAAGTAATTGCACTAAATTTTTTAATGACAGATATATGGACAGTAAAATGTCAGTTTTCTGCTTACCTGAGCCAGAACTAGGCATGTGTGAATATTTGAGCACTTTGAATAATGAAACGAACATCACAGTATTTGAATTCACTTAAACTATTTTTAATTCTAAACGACGAGTCACGGGTCATGCTACGAGTTAATTTCTCTGATCTCCTAGTGTAATGCGCCCTCGAGGTCATGAAATATAAATATTTCAGAATACCGGGCCTGTACAAATGCTGTCCAAGCCCATGAAAAGGAACCCTCAGAGTCCCCCCTGGCAGAATGTTACGAATGTTACATCCGCTAAGCCACTAAGGGCCGGAGGAGGAAAAATTTTCGGACTGTGCGGACACGGTCCAAGCAAGATAGATAACACGGAGGAGGAGTAGAGGTGCAAGGAACAGAGAGCGCAAACTTGCCTCTTCGTCGTTCTCGTCCTGGGTGAGGATGGCCTGGAGAAACTGCTTCCTCTCGGAGCCCGTCGACTTCTGGTCGAACATGCCGGCCTGGATGACCTTCTCGTCCAGGTTGAGTTTGTACTTGGCCGCAGCCAGGATGCGCTCCTCCACCGAGTTGACCGTCACGAGCCGCAGCACCCGCACCTCGTTCTTCTGGCCAATCCGATGGGCTCGATCTTGTGCTTGCAGGTCCTGCATCCAGGGGGGGGGAGGGGGATGATGATGATTACCGTTGCGGTTTAAAACACTAAAATTCATGCACAATTATAAAACACGCTGCAATGGAGCACTGCAAATATCACAACAACACGTGAGGTTCTTTAATGTGCACTCAAATCTAAGCGCACAAGCCTCCAAAATGTTGTTTCCATCGAAACGAGGCCACTGTTGCTGGGATTTAATCCTCCAACTATCCTGCAACTAAGAGGAAAGGACAACAGTTGCAGTGTTCACTGAAGTGCAGCATATCCATATCTCTACCTTACATTTCGATTTGTGTTTTCTAGGTGACCGTTTTTAATCTTCTAACAAGCAATACTGCAAGAGCCATTACATTCATGTGCATTGCAACTTTCCTAAGTGTTATTGTAGGTTCTGTAGCAGAATAATCGTATGCAATTGAATCACATACGTTTCATGAATTCTGGAATTATGTTGGGATGTACAATTTCATGAGTAAATAGCTAAAGCGTTTGAGCCATGGTTCCGATTTTAACCACCAATGAATGACGGCCGCTACTGCTGTATGCTTTCTCCCTCACTTTTGTTGAGAGATAGTTCCAGAGAAGTTTTGTCTTTTACTGTATAGCTTTGGCTGTTCTGTCGTTCAATGTCGCCACGGTACAACAACAGCACCACAGTGGCATTGATAATAATCATAGGCCAATTTCGCTATGGCTGCAACAAAAACGACACCTCTAAGTACCAACAAATGCTTCAGGTGCCTGAAGTTCTATAAATTTATCAGGCAGCTACCTAATCTTCTGTGTTAACCACACTACTTCCCATCTTTTGAAAACTGTTCTATTAGTCTTGCAGACCACCAGTCAACTACAGTGAAATCCCGTTATAACGAACCTCAGATTAACGATTTTTTCAGATTAACGAATATTTCGGAAATCCCCTTCCAAATGTCCATTGATTCAATGTAAAAATATTTCACTACTACGAATTTCAGAATAACGAATGTTTCAGAATAACGTATCAAATTTTATCACCCTGGTACCTTAAGAGCACTTCAAAATAACGAATTTCTAGCGTAAAAATTACGTGCGGCGGTCTAAATGCCCAGCGCCATATGTGGCACTATCATCATCATCAGAGCTCCTGCTCATTTCTCCATGCGTTGCCTTATGCTAAATGCGCACTAGCCTGGCTAGCCCTATCGCCATCGCCAGTACCTTGTTTTCGATGTTTTTTTTTTTTTTGCATGCTCGTTGAGCCAGGTTGAGCCTAACCTCGCCGCCTTTGTTTTGTTACGTCGACCGGCAACGTCGCACGATTGTCGTACGGCTTTCTCGTTTTAAAGGTTAGAGTGATTCGTTTCTGCGTTCGCGATGAGCTCCGGAAGCAGCGCGAAAAAGAAACGGAGGCAGTTTTCTTTGAAAGAAAAAGTGGATATTCTTTCTCAAGTGGACGCCGGTAAAAAACAAATCCACATTGCGAACGAGATGGGGGTTGCACCATCAACTGTCGCAACCATCCTGAAGGACCGACAAAAGATCCTCGAGCTGCACCGAGGGTCCCAACTCGCACCGTCAAGAAAACGGCTCCGACTTGGGAATTTCCAAGAAGTGGATGCTGCAGTACTGACTTGGTTCAAGGACGCGCGTTCTCAAAATGTGCCGGTGTCGGGACCCATGCTGCAGGAAAAAGCCCGGCAATTCGCTGATGCTTTGGACATCACAGGCTTCGAAGCAAGCGCGGGGTGGCTTCATCGTTTTCGTGAAAGGAATGGAATCACCTGGCAAGTGGTGTTTGGTGAAGAGAAGGCGGCAGACGCAGCAAGCGCTGCTGCATGGAGGGACGAGAAGTTCCGCGAAATCGTCGCTTCATACTCCGAAGATGATATATTCAATGCGGACGAAATGGCGTTCTTCTATCAAATGCTTCCTGATAAAACCATGCATTTTAAAGGGAACAGCTGCAAAGGCGGCAAGCAGTCCAAAGTCCGGATTACGGTATTGTTATGCTGCAATTCCACAGGCACCAAGAAGCTGAAGCCCTTGGTGATCGGCAAATACAAGAAGCCTCGCTGCATGAGGAACGTTGTTTCATTGCCGTGCGATTATCAGGCTAATTCACGCGCATGGATGACACGAGAGTTATTCTCTGAGTGGCTACTAAAGGTGGACGATGAGATGAGGAGCGCAGGTAGGAAAATCCTGATTATCGCCGACAACTGCTCGGCGCATCTTGTTAATGTCAGGCTGACAAATGTACAGCTGGAATTCTTGCCTCCGAACTGTACGTCCTTGCTCCAGCCACTGGACCAAGGCATCATAAAAAGTGTCAAGGCCCATTACCGGACACGCCTGGTTCAGCGATTGCTGATAAATCTTCGGATGAAGCTGCCTACCTCCATCAATGTGCGACAGGCCACAGAAATGGTTACCGGGGCCTGGTGGAGCGTTACATCAACCACCATCCAGAACTGCTGGAGGAAGGCAGGCTTGGTAGTAATGCCATCTGAATCTGAACAAGGCAGCGAAGAAAGCGACGCGAGTGGCATGTGGCAAGAAGTCGTCGAAAGACTCGCGATGAATGCCTCGGTGACGTTCGAGGACTATGTGCAGTGCGACGACGAAGCATGCACGTCAGCCGAACTGACGACCGATGACATCGTCAGTGCTGTTCGTGGTGATAACAGCGACGAGGACGCCAATGGCGAAGACGACGCTGAGACCGCGCCCGTTAGCCAACCAGAAGAATCGCTTTCCAACGCCGACATCATGGAATGCGTGCGAAAGATGCGCACTTACCTTGGCAGGTGCAGCAATGCCACCGAAGCAGAGCATAAGAATGTGGACAACCTCGAAGCGTTCGTCCTGCGGCAGTTGAGCGGCACCTGCCAGGCCAAGATCACCGACTTTTTCAAATAAACGTGCGCTCATTCCGGAATACTTCGCGTTTTGTTTCTTTTCACGCTCGTCATAAAATCAAGCGTTTGCGGATGTGTACACAGCAAAGGTAGGCGACTCCTTTTGTTGCATTTACGATTTTTAATGCGAATTTTCGATGTTTTCACTATAACAATATTTCAAAATAACGAACTATTTTCCGCGGTCCCTTCAAATTCGTTGTATCGAGATTTCACTGTACTCAATTTTGTTACACGACTTCCTTTAATTACTTAAATAGAGTGTGAACATTGCTGCACAAGGAAGGTCGCCAGGGCCCAGTAAAGCTAGGCACCACTAGAAAGCATTCTGTTCAGTTATCACTTTTCAAAAACACATGCTTTACGTGCAAAACAAACTAGAATTGAACTGGACGTTGACAATATTACCTCTAACGACTTCTTATTCTCTAGCATACACTGTAATCCCATGTTCACACGTTACACCCGTAGCCTTCCATTCCTAATCTTATCATGCAGTCCTCAGCCTGTTTTTTAAATTAAAAAATTTCTAAAAGCTATTGACAGTGTTCAGTGACTCCACTCAATTTGTGCTACTTACTGTACTTTTTAAAAAGTAACGGTGATTCTGCAGCCCTATTCTGATATTGCACCGGTGGTACTGCCCTGCAAGTTAGTTTCTGCATTTCTAGTGACACATCCGCACATCAGCTCAACACTGCGGATTTCGAAATACACCCAAACCTCGACATAACAAACCCGGATATAACGAATCATTGGTTATAACGAAGTAAGTGAGAAATGGCTCTGTCATAGGTGCAGTGCTACAGCTATATGTTTAGAGTATAACGAATTTTTGAATATAACTAAGTGTTTTCGTGGCAGGTGTGGCTTTGTTATTATAATGAGGTTTGAGTGTGCGGTAAGCGGACCACTGTTTCAATACGCCATCGAGGTTGGCAGTAAATTGAAACGGCCTTTCAATGAAATGTTTTAGCCAACCCTTATTAATAGACCCTGCTGGATGCCTCCACTGCACCACAGAATACCCCACCCCATTCTGTATTCTCAGTGACATCACACTTTGTGCCACACATGTTAAGGCCATGACGTATTTTGAAATGGTCAATAAAGAGTGCTTGTAAAGCTATTTTTACTGGTCAATTAGAATATAAAACTATGTTCTTTAATGTACCATGAAGCACCACTACGAGAGGAAAAAAAAAAAAGTAGTACTCTGTTCTGTAATCAGCTTGTGGCTTGGAAGCAATGCGGTTCACTCCCAATAACATTGCAGCGCGCAAGAGCCAATAAATCCCCCCCCCCCCCTCCACATGTCAAAAGATGCCAAGTAAATACTCAATTACTGCTCCACAGATGAGCATGCAACAATGCGTATGAAAGAATGGCCTTTCAACGAAACCAAATTGATGTTTCAAGCTTATGACACTCGGAGGGATAAAACTGACGCGCAAAAACATATGTGGAGCATGTTGAGTGTGTTATTAATGACACCCCAATGCTGTAGCAACTATGTATTCCTTTCTATCGCACTCTAGTGGTTGATTTGTTGACCATATTCATGTATGACTGCAATATTTCAGGTGCGTGTGACGCTTCGGCACTTACTGTCCAATTCTTGCAGACTGGAGAATTTCGAGAAAGCAGGCACATGCCGATTTCTTCAAAGATATTGTAAGCATCAAGTCAACAAAAGCGCCTGTCGTAGCATGTGCTCAAGTCGATATAAGCATAGGTTTATAGCATGTAGGCGCCGCAGGTGTGCGGACACTAATCGCGGATGCAAACTTACATCTCAGTAGCATGCCTCGATTTGTCAAAACAGAGTTACAGCTTGTTGCTGCAGCCTTTAATGTCCAACCTTTCAAAAATGTCTTGGTTATAGTGTGGTACCATTTATATTTCGGACATCTGCAACTCTGCCAACGTTGTATAGGCGGTCTACGCTTCAACGTTTAAGTGCACACTCCCGTCCAAAAGTACATTTTCAGGCTCTTCGGGCTTGACCTTCCCCTTGCCAGAAAAAAGCAATATCCATAAGCTTTCATGTCAGTACCCCTTCAAAGAGACCCTGAACCACCACTTGGGCTCGGTGGAGAAACACATTCTATAAACGGCAAACACTGCTCTCACAGCTTGGCCAAGCTTTGTCGTTGCATGCGGCGCGTAGATCCTACAAGCAGAGTGAGAAATCACGACTTTCTAAAGCACCCGGTCTTCATATAATGGCCCATCTTCACCCCCTTCGAAGCTAACCTCACTATTAGAGCAAACGGCTGCTATATGCTGACAGCCAACACAAACACAGAGCAGCGTTTTGATCAGATTCGCTTCTTGTCGCTGGGTACTGGCACATGCCAGTGCCACGCTCTGTACTACACAGTACCTACACTAGTGTGCCCACGAATTGCATGCACTAGGAGAAAGCAACAGTGCATCAGTCACACGACAAATTTCTGTAACTTCACTCTTTTTTATGGTTTTGAAAAATTATTTTAGCAATCAATTCGTTAAGCAATCCAATACTGAGGTTCTTGATGACTACAAAGTGTTTCAGGACACCTTTTAGGCAAGCTATTACCAGTCTCAATGTAATGAAGACATTTATTTACTCCCACCTGCAAGCAGAATCAAAATGTTTCCAGCACTGGTCTTCTGACCTGGTGGGGGTTCCAGTCCGAGTCGAAGATGATGACCGTGTCCGCCGCCTGCAGGTTGAGCCCCAGTCCACCAGCCCGGGTGCTCAGCAGGAAAATGAAATAGGGAGACTCCTTGGCATTAAACATTTCCAGCAACTGACCACGGTCTTCCGCCTTGGTTGTACCGTCGAGACGCAGGTACCGATACCCTGCAACGGCGCCAAGCGATACGGTCGTTGAGTGCATATGGTCCCAATTCCAGGTGGTCACGATTTCATTGCACTGAGTGCTGATAAAGCTAAAATTTATAGATATCTATGTTAGTAATAAAGCTAAAATCATAGTGCTACGAAGCTATTGCCGATGACCAATTATGCCAAGACATCAGTGAATTCAAGCGGCCTTGTAAAATCTGACCATGGTCAAAAATGTTGAAAAAGCACTCCCGCACTTTGAAACCTCAAAATAGGTACTTCAAGTCATTGCAGTTCTTTGAACATGAATTTAAACACATGCATTAAAGAATGCTGAACAAAAACACTTCCATTATATTTAAAACTTTTTTTTTTTTTTTTCGTTCGAGAGAGTGGAGGCCAGGGCTACGAACAAATAAACAAACAGAAAGCCAGGCACTGACCCCTGTAGGTGAGGTAGTCCTCCATGATGGTCATCAGGGTGGTCATCTGACAGAAGAGAAGCACCCTGTGCTGCTTGGATCGCAGCTTCGGAAGTATCCGGTCCAACAGCTCAAACTTGCCAGACACCCGGTACAGGTCGGGTCTGCGTGTTCGAGTGAGTGAAAACATCAATAAAGAACCAATGAGCAGCTAAGCATTTGCTTGAGAGACCAGTAAGGACTTGAGCATGGTAATCTACAGGGAGACTAAGCAGCTTATGTCTGTGTGCTTTAACTCGACGTATATCTGAAGCTCACGGACTAACGCCAACAATGAATGCTGGCCCTATGATATTTGCACGCTATAAAATGAGCAGTCCAATTAGCGAACTGTTGCAGAATACCATATATTCTCTCACATAACCTGCACAAGATAGAGTCGACTTCCGATAATTCTAAATGGCTTAATTAGAATTTTCGATTAATTACAAGTCAACAAGATACCCCATCAATTTTGCATGCACACCTATAGAAAAATATGCTCGATGATTCAAAGTTAGAAGCCTGTAATGTTGGTTATTTAGAAATTATTTTTCAGTTGACAGCCTTGACATGACCGTAACTTTTCAACAAATGAATAAACTTTCTTTAAAGCCCGGCAGTGCCCTTCGGGTAAGGCAGGGGGAAGAGGGGATTAACCCCAATCCCTTCAATACCTACGTCGATGACAATGGCGGTGCCTCAGGTAAATGAAAAACTTTTCGTGTGCCAAAACCGCCAAGACAGCTGTCCGACCGCGCTGTTGTCGCCATCAGCACTGCCTGCAGTGCCACGGTTCATGAAGCGGCCATCTTGTTTAGTCAATGCTTAGGCATCGCATTGATCGCACCGGCTAACCAGGTCTTTTGTTGTGATGTGTCGAGTGCTTCAGCTGGTGCTGGGTTGATGTCTGGTTGAAGTTTGAACAGTGTGATTGGACGCTGGCGGAAATGAGTGCTCAAACACACATACAGTGCTGTGTGTATGTTCTAGTGTTCTGCTATGTCCGCGTCCAGCTGCCCTGTTTAAACATGGCATGATAAACCAACTAGTCAGCCAACGCACTGTGGGTTGATTCTGCCCGTGTTTCCACAGCTTATTTTGAATGTTGTGGTGGTGACGTTTGATGATGGCAACTGTCGGCCCCTAGCGAACGTTACACTGGGCCACGAAAGTCGAGTTTTGAAAGAAGTTGACCAGCACGGCGTTAAGCCCGACACGCTCTCGAAATTCAAGTGAAAACAGGTAAACTCGACGCAGTAGTCTTGAGGCCATTCTTATCGACACCCGTTTTGAAAAATTCGTTGCAGTGGACAGCAATGTCAATAGCTAGTTTGCATGAGCGGCGGCGACGCTAGGGACTCTGGGTAGGCAGCCTATTTTTTGTCAGAAGCAGCCGGGGAGTGCAGCAGCGCAATCGTGTTTGCGAGCATTGGCGTAGCTTGCAGGCGTGATCGAGTGCGAGCACGACGCAAATTTAACTCCAAGAAGAGTAGTGCATGATGCTAGCCTAACTGGAAGACTACACCACAACGCTGTGCCAGGAAGACCTCGAGCGGTACGAAGAAGAGACGAGAATTTGCTCCGAGTGAACCCATTCACGCTTTGCGCAGGCGACTGTGTAAGCGATGTGCACTTGTGGCCACGCGTCGACAGCTCCGATATTCATGAATTTCTCGTCCCGAGGACGAGATGGATTACCCGGGAGCTGTTGAAGCCGAGAAAGGCAATCAAGGGCCACAACTTGGTGACGAGTGGTTGACTGTGGGAGTCATGAATAAATAAATTCGCCGCCGATACCGTCATCGTCGTCACTCAAGTAAGAGGTGTTAAATCACTTGATTTTGCTGTAGATGCTAATGTTGGTTTCTGTTCAGGTTAAACTTTCAGTGTGTAAACAAGCCCCCGTCGACGTCTTCTTCATGGGCAAGAGTGATGACGATTTCCTTGCCGCGCACTGCACATGCATGGCCGGGAACAGCGAAGCCTGCTCACATCCCACTGCGCTGTTATTCTACGTGGAGTACGACGCATGCACGTGCACGAGACAAGCGCTCCCCAATTTAACATGTCTTACTTGAGGGACGATGACCACGGTGTCGGCGGCGACTTTCTTCACCCACGGCTCCCGTATCCGGCCACTCTACACAAACTTGTCACTCTTGAGGGCCTTTCTGGACTTCATCTGCTCCCGGGTTCTCAAACTCATCCTCGGAACGAAAAATTTATGAATATCGAAGCTGTCGACGCGCCGCCAAAAGTACACGTTGCGCCTGCATGAAGCGTGAATGGGTCACTCTGAGCAAATTATTGTCTCTTCTTCGTACCGCTCGATGTCTTTCTGGCACAGCGTTGCAATGTAGTCTTGCGGTGAGGCTGATATCGTGCACGGCACTTCTCGGAGTTAAATTTGCGTCGCGATCGCACTCGATCACGCCTGCAAGCTACGCCAACGCTCGCAAACACGACAGCGCTGCTGCACTCCACGGCTGCCTCTGACAAAAAAAATGGCTGCCTACCTAGAGTACATAGTGTCGCCGCCATTCATGCAAGCTCCCTATAGATGTGGTCCACAAACGAACAAAAAAATTGTGCAGATGAATGGTTTAGCTAATGGACAGCGACAACATAGAAATGAACTGCCACCAAGACTACCGATGTTGCTGCTGGTCTTGCTCTCGCGCTGCAGTTTTGTTTTGTTGAAGAAGACAATGCTGAAGAAGCACTTCGACACATGCAGTGCTTGGAAAACTTGCTAGCTGTAGCCAGGTTCGGCAAGAGAAGATGACAGACAATTTTCCAGGAGAACTGTCAGGTATAAAGCAATAAAAGTGCAGTTTCGTGCATTTTGCTTAATTGGAAGTTTGTGTAACTCGAAGCTTTTTGCGGTTCCTGTGAACTTCGTACTACCGAGAGTCGATTGTATACAGAAATGGTCGGAGCCAAAGTCGGAGAACAGGTTAGCTGTGGACTATGGTGCACAAGTAGGCTCAGTGAAAATACAATTGAGTTAAAAAAATTTGGGGGGGGGGGGGGGGGGGGGGCAGTTATAGTTGGGAGTGCAGGTTATACACAAGGGCGTGTTATAGGAGAGTGAAACACAGTGCCATCCAAAGAATCGGGTTCCATAAGTGCGCACACTTGAAAGCTTGCCATGAGATGCCTCTAAACTCGGCTGACTGTCGTCGTTCCTACAATTCTATGCCAGTGGAATATCCCGGTGGTAAACATGACTGCACCTCTTTTTATTTTTTCTCAAGGTTACTCAGAAACTGATTGCACTATAATGTGCATCAGGGACACCATGATAAAAAAAAATAAAAAGAAACACGCACACAATGGAACAATCTGCCAGCAGAAACATAACTAATTCCAAGAGCTCACCCAACTTTTGAATGCTAACGGCTCGTGCCCCACTCACCCTTGAACAATGCTCCCAGTGCAACCAATGTGCTCGGCGTAGGCCTCCTCAATGTGTTGGAACATGAATGGGTGGTTGCAGATCTTGCGCAGCTGCATGATGGTGTTCATCAGCGTCTTGGTGCCGCCCTTGCCCTAATCACCGGAGAGGCAAAGGAACAAGTGTTAGTTTGGCCGATCAGGCATACCTCGGCAGCTCAGCTCTGTGCCTCTGGATTCCCCGCTGTATTTTAACGTAGGCAACTTTTTTTTTTTCCTTGAGAATCTCGGCACTCGGCCCGCAATCGAGGGCGGCCTAGATTCGAGCAAATGTGGTACTACCCATGGTAGTGTGAGCACTGACTCACCTTCTTGTCCTTTTCAGATCCATCTGTAAGAAGTACGCCCTTCGTTTGCATGTGTCTGTACAGGAGTCTCTGCAGTGCTGACATGTCGCACTTCACGACGTATTCCACCTGTCAAACGACACCAGAAAAGCCACCACTTTCGATAGAAGCCAAGCAAATGAAAACCCCACACAATCTGCTAATACAAATACAAGACAAGAGACGTGAAACTGCATGTTGCGAGAAAAAATTGCACTTAAACCTCGATATAACAAACATGGATGTAACAAATTATTGGTTCTAATACAGTTAATTAAAAAGTCTTTTACACAGTGTTATGAATATACATTTATAATGAATTTTTGGACATAACAAAGTTCTTTGTGGCAGATGTGACTGTTATAATGAGGTACGAGAGTAATGTCATTGATTGAAACACTCGAAAATCTCGTGAATGCAGTAAAGGCACTGACGCTGAATTAATGTCTCCAGGCAGTACCAGATGGTGCTAAACCAGGTTCCATTAATTTTGAGGGCACCATTTTCCCTGTCTGCCAATTAGATTAAAAAAAAAAAGTGGAAGTCGACGTGTGGTTGAAGGCGTAACAGACTCTCTCGTTAGCACAGCTATCAAACCAGCTATTATTGTGCATTATGTCCAAATGTTGAGATGTCTTAGTGAAGCACCAGAGTGGAAATAACGGCCGACTGTGACACGGTTTTGGTTTTGTACTTGATTATAACGAACAGGCAACATTTGGACTAGATTTATCAAAAAAAAAAAGAAAGAGTGAGCATCCGATTTAAGGGGGGAGGTGGGGATCGAAAGTGAAATTCTTTAGTTTTTGTCGTAGAGCAATGAAATTTGGCATGCTTACTGGAAACTGCGCTAAATGATAAATGACAAAGTTTCATTCAGCTATCTCCAGTAGTTCTGGCATTATAAATTTTTTTATCCATCAGTGTACTACCAAACTTGCCCAAAGCCTGGTGTGACAAAAAAACATGGTAGAAGCCTATAGTTGCTCTTATATTTTAGCCATTGGGATGGTTGATGTCGTGACATTCTGCAAATATTTTTATGACTCTGTTTTTATTTTACAGAGAACATTGTATACATGATTGTAAATGTGGTCGTTATCATAATGTGAAATTAGCTTAGGAGTAAAAACACTGAGGTAGTAATTAACAAATATGAAAACGTCACGACATAGAAAATTCACTGAGGAACACAATGCAAAAAACCACATGAAAATCCGTCAAGCCATAGTCATGCAAGCATCGTGGCAAGCTGGACAGTCGGGTCAAAACACGTTTCTGAGAAAACTGGCGTTATAGTTGAACAGTCAGTAAAGGTCCATCAAAATGCCCCGGGACTGTAATACTTTGTGTCTTTGCTTGCGAGGGTCTTCTTACGTCCTTTCTCTTTCATTTTTTCTGCACTGCGTGCTTTTCGTTTTCTTTGCTGGTCTTTTTCTTCAGCTCTTTGAAGGGCGAGGCTAGCAGGTTTGATGCCCACGGACTTGCACATTTCAGTGTAGGCTCGCAAATTCCCAAAATTGTAGCGTGCAACTGCTTCATGTACTGTTGTCTCCACTGCGAACAATGAAGCGTGTTGGTCCTTTGAAGTCAGTGACCAAATAACTGAATGCAAGCTTTCCGCCGCATTCTGAGTTTTGTTGCCTTTGCATCGCTCCAACAGTTGCGGGTCAGAGAGACGTTGGTATACAGGCAGCAGAGCATCCGCTACACGTTTCGACAGGTTATACCTGTGAGGTGGTGCTGGCTCCATTTTGGCCTGTGCTGAACGATGTTTGCACCAGCTATCAGGGCCAGGTGGGCAGAGCTTATGGTGAGGCTCGTCGTCGGTGGACGCGACGTGATAAAAAGTGGCCATCACGGCCCTTTGCATGTCAGGGACACTTGTGTGTTTTCGCAAGGCTAACCCGTAGTAGCTGGTCAGTTTTTTAATCAACTCCTGCGTCAGTCCACCTCTCCCACCCAATGGCTCCCCTTTCTTAGCTCTTGTCACCAGTGTGCGGAGAGCGGTGCCCATTCTCTTCTGCACATGGTTCACGCAGTCTTCTTTGGTCAGTGGTATGAAGCCGTACACCTCATCTTTGCACAGAGCAAGATAGGTTCGGCTGTCACCATCACATATAATGTTGGTGTAGCGGAGGCCATACCTGCTGACAGAGCGCCTGAAAAGTGTCAGAGCAGCCTCCACTTCCATCTGTCCGGAGCCAACATCAGTATTCTTCTGACATTGATGTTTCTCAGCCCAAGTGACGAAGTTGGGGTCGCTCTCTGCTGGTTGTTGACAACACCCAAGACAGAAGTTGGAAAGGACTGTGCAATGCAGCACAAGCCCCGTGTAAAACTCAATAATACATCCTACCCCAATGTGTGAGCTGTGGCCTCTTGTAAGCCACGTGCCGTCATACACAACTGTGATGTTGTTTGGGCTTGATGGCTGCATCTTACTGTACACGTCTTTTACCGCAAGCACAGCATCTGCAAAGATGTTTTGTGCAGCTTCCTCTGCTCCTGGTTTGAATGTTTTTTTTAGGTGTTCCTGATAGGTTTTTTGATGAATTCCCCGATGAGAGACATTCATTGTAGCCCAGAAGTCATTCAGGGCAGTGGGCCCTTTTCCAATGGACTTGATTGCTTGCATGGCTCTTAGGTTGACTTCAAAAGCCCTTCCTTCGGATTTTCTACTGGATGACCAAGGTGAATGAATAGGGCCACAGGAAGCACACAAAAGTACCAGTTTTACTGCCAGGCCCAATTTTGTCCGATGCTGCACTGACAAAGTCTTCTTACAACATTTTGGGCAGAATGCAGGTCCTATTAGGGAATTCATGGCAGAAACCTGAATTAGGGTGAACTCATCCTCTTTTGTTGCCGATGTTTGCTCCGTTTGCTGCGCGAACCCGAACTTCCGCTCCGTTGCCGACACCTCGCGAAGTGCATCGCGGACACTGCTGGCTTGCTTCTCGGCGCCTTCCGAGGACACGAAACGAGGTTCCAGGTGTATTTGAACGGTGCGCTTCCGCTGAGGCAAACGATCGCCGACATCCTGGACAGCTGGCACCACGTCGTCGTCCGCCGCCGCGAAAACGAAACTTTTCTCGCGTTCACACTGCACCGTGATGCCGCGGCTAGTTGATGGCCCCGGGTCTTCAGTGTCACTGCCAGGCGTCGATTCACCGTCACTTTGAACAGCCGGCACCGCATCGTCACCCGCCGCAGCGAAAACGAAACTTCTTTCGCGTTCGGGCCGCACCGCAACGTCGCGGCTAGTTGACGGCCTTGCGTCATAGGCCTCACTGCCGAGCATCGGCAGCGAGCAGGTGTCGGCTTCCGACGACACGTAGCTTGGTGGCGACGCGGTACTCGGTTCGTCTGATTCAATCGCTGCTGACTGCTTCGTTTTCCCAACAGGAGGCTTGCGTTTACGCTTCCCGTAAGCGTACTTCGTCCGGTACTTCGTCCGGTACTTCGTCCTGCGCTTCCGGTCCACGCGACAATCCATTGCGGGCGCTAAGCCTCGCGCTAGAGAAGAGTTGGCGTATCGGCGACCGTATCGGCGTATCGGCAGGGGATTCGCAAACTATAGTGCGCCAGCGTGTGCGTAGCAGACGTGCGTGCGCGGAGCAGACGACCAGCGCAAGCAAGCGCGTCCCAGCAGCCACTCACAGAGCGCGCTCAGTACCACGTGACAGGAGCGACCAATGGGTGCGCGTCTAAGGCGTCGCGGATGCCTCCGCATTTTTTCTGTTTGTGCGTTTATCTTAGCTCGTAGAGTCGTGGTTTCACCGGGAGAAGTACGGCGGTGAAGCAAGCTTTCCAGTGACACCAAGCTTTCCGCGAGCGGCGGCGAAGGCGCGGAAGTATCGCGCTCGGAAATGGGCCATTTTCGCGCAGATTTCAGCCAGCTTTTTGCGATCCGCGGTCAGAAAAACATTTTTTAAGCTTACTTTGAGATCGTTTTCGGCGGAAATATTTTTAGATATGATAGAAATGGTGATGCAGAATCCAATCTGCCCTTATCCAAAATTCGTTTTTTTGCGAGAATTTCGCAATTTGATCCCCGCGTCCCCCCCTTAAGTAAATCGAGCAACTGTCGTGAGAAATTACAGAAAAAAACTGATCGCCGTATATGATCGCTGTCAACGTGAACAGTGTATTGGTGACTCAACTGCACTTTGCAAGTGCTCTGAAAACACACCAAGCATCTCGATACACTGGCTTTATGTACAAAGGAGATTCTCGAGGCAACCATCAACTATGTGGAACGCATGCTGGCTCGTATGCAGGACATTCCTGTAATGACTGTGACACAGGGGTCAGAGTACTGGGCTATGGAGCCAGAGGCCCGAAGTCTAGATCCAACTGTCGGAATATTGATGCCATTTCTGCCTGTTTGCTCATGTTGATCTGGTGTGCTTGTATCTGCTATACCAACACCACTTGTGCATGTGTGCAGGTGACATTATACCTGTGGGTGGGGTCCTGCCCATACGAAACATGTTGTGCTAGCTAAGAAATGGTATTGCAAAAACAAAAAAGAGAGAGGGAAGAAGAAAGGCACCATAGCTTGTTGTTATTCTGCTTCCTGAATTTATCTAATTAGCAAATACGCATGACACTAAAAACATTTCAGGGTTTTGCAAGAAAATGAGTAAGAAAGAACACTACAGTCGACATTTGGGCTTGAGCATCTTCGCAGCAAATGCGGTGAAGCAGCGACCTGTGCCGAAGACCAGTAGCACCACAGGAATGGCACGATAGTCACTGACCTTTTCGGGAAGTTGCGACTCGACCTCTTTCTTGAGTCGCCGCAGCAGGAACGGTCGCAGGACTTTGTGGAGACGCCGAATAATCAGGATCGTCTCTTCCTCGTTTAGTTCAACCTGTGAGGTCAACGGAACGAACGCTCAGGACTGGCTTGCACAGAACTTTCACACACAGACAGTAATGCTTGAATGGTTAGGGTGACATCTCGCAATAGCTATAATTCATGACTATGACATAGAGCGTCCCACACGTAAGAAATCATAAGTTTGTGCAGTGCAATTGAATGTAATGCCGAATATCACACTTTCATTTTGCAAAATAAGATACGATTATTACACAGACGGCGTCACAGATCACGACCGATTTGTCGTCGAAGTGGCACAGTCGGTTCAATCTGCCACACTGCCTGCATTGGCCACTAAAAACCCAAGTCCTTGGCGCTATCTGGTTTGCCTTTTATCCACAACTTGTAATTGCGAAGTGTGAAACAGTTCTTTCATACAAACAATGGCGCCACAAGGCGCATGAGGTCAGTCTTCTATGGCCCCACCTTCTGCAGCGCAGACTGACCGAACTGGACGAGAATAAAGAAGGGTACAGCTTGCCTTTTCACCAGTCGTCGCAAACGGAGCGTTGAACCACTGTTCGAATGTGTTGCAACTCTTGAAGATGCTCGGCAAAAGGAAGTTCAGCAGAGCCCATAGTTCAGGCAGCTTGTTCTGAAATCACAACACAAAAAACAGTTGCTCTTTGTCCCTACCCACTTTCACGTGACTTTAGGAACAGCTCAATGAGCAAGTAAATGCTGCTTGTGTATGTTAGCACTACTCCATGCATAGTGCCTTTCTCTTTTTATTTTAGAACTCCCCACAGACAACACTAATGAGCTTTAAAAGAAAATTTTAGTATGCCTGTTGAACGGTACTAAAAACATTTACAGAAATGCTTGCTCTTGGCTCAATGCCTTTCTGGAATACAAATCAACTTCAGTATCGTCAATTAACCTCAAGCACCCATGCATGAGCAGCTGCAAAAAATCGGCAGTGGAGCTTCAAAAGCTACGCAGAGCCTTTAGATTGCAAAATGGAGGTCACATTGGCCTCAGATTACCGGCAAACTAACACCTGCATAGACTTTATATACAGTAGACTCTCAGTAAACGGAACTTGAAGGGACCAGGAGAATGCGTTCCATTTAACAGGACTTGCGTTTACTGAGAGGTGAACATAGGTGCAGAATACAAGCCCGAAACCAAGTGTTGCAGAGGCAATAGTTCCGTTTAAGCAGTTTTTCCATTTAACAGGTTATTGCTTAATATCATTTTCGTTTTATACTGTAACCAGGTTTCAAAAACTAAAACTGCTGCACGAACTCTGTCTAGCTATATCAAAGCCTCTCAAACACTTTCGATTACTTCATCAGATGACTTGCATGACCCGGACAGTGCAGCAGAGTAATCATGAAGGAACACCTGCACCAGTGATAGCGCTGGAGTGCATTGTAGGCCACATACAATTAATGACGCATTAGATCCACGTATTCAGTTCCAACGAATCAGGACAGCACTTTCTATCAGTGCGCAATTAAATTTTCTTTGCTTTGCTGGACACAAGTTCACCCAGCCAGTAAACGCTTCAATCTCAATCTGAAGCCATGGTTGTTACACTCTCTGCCATCAGAAAATAATGCAATATTAACACATAATCATTAATATTTCTTCTTTGGGGGGCGGGGGGCAAGTCTGCCGCTGCTCGCTTGGCCGTGGAAAAATGCGACTGCGCTCTCTTTAGCAGGCACAATTGCAGGTAGTGCAGGTACCACAAAGATCTCTCTATCATATGCGCTTCCTATGCTGTTGCATCTTTTTAACACCTCTTGACAGACTTACTATGCATGAGAACATGCCTCTGTGTATCCACCGGGGCTTTTGAGGGAGGACGATACCCGGTGATGTCTTGATAAACCGTACAGATTCCCATGCAACCACCACCACTCCGCAGCAGCCAATGCTGACTTACGCAGTTTCTTTTTTTTAAAGGAAGATAAAAATGGCAAGTAGATTGCACCTGTTAGCTATCCACAGCTATATCAACAGCAAAAATATGTGCTCTTGCATTTACGCCAACCAATGCTCGGGTTGGTTCTGTGCAACTTATCTTTCACCCCTTCTGATGCCGTAAAAAAAAAAAAGAAAAAAAAAAGACCTAATTTATCTAATGTTTTTGCTCGATTTGTACAGCTTTGTTTTGTTTGTTTTTCTGAAGCAAAATGGTACCGTCCTTTCAACCCAATGGGGTTTCCTTTATTTCACTGATTGCATTAACATCCTCGGTTTCTGGGTACTCAATTAGGTACTGTTATTTTAAAGGCCACAGACCATCACAATTCGATATATGAGTGTCCAAATTCGTCTCCGCCATATAAGAATGAGTTGCTTACACGAAGCCCTGAGAAGTGGTGCCATGTGTCCAATCATATTCGCAAACGAGAGAATGAAAATGAACTGAAGTGTGGGATCCCATCTGTTCGGCACACTCACTCGTTCAAACATGGCCAGCCAATCGTCAACGTCGACGCCATCGGTTCCGCAGAATGTACCGGGATCCTTGAGAGGCGTGAAACGTACGGTTGCGACGCCATGTTCGTCGGAGACGCTGACGTTGACGCGGAGGGCTGAGCATTGGCCATGGCTGGAAGGGCGATGCGACGTCCGCTGCGGAGCTCCGTTGCCTGATGGTTACCCAGCACCTCTCACCAATATGTTACGAGGTTGGTTGCTTCTGAGCGAGATGTATTTGCAGAGTAAAAACTACAGGCAAGAGACACAATGGCTGATTGGCCCAGTCGCGCGCCTGTCAGTCGCACCTCTTCCTTTTCTTCCTCTCCGTAGCAATATTTTTCTGCATTTATTTTTAAGGCCAGAAAATCAAATATTACAGTTTTGCAAAATCTTTTCTCATTGGTGCATTCTCGAGACTGAGGAGGTTAAAAAAGAAAAAAAAATTACTAGAAGGTGGTTTCACTGCATGACAATACAATGAAAGATGGTTATAAAATGAAAGCCAAAACACAAATGGCACAGCTTGGACAAAAGTGGTCATCTAGTCTAAAGATTCATAACTATGCGAAGTGTAGTTGCCACTGGTTCCATGTGTGACCAACCTAGGTTGATGACGAGTAAAGCTGAGCTGTTATCGTTGATTTCATTACAAAATTTCCTGATAACCACTGTGAGGGTGCTGACACCCCCTGTAAAGTTGTTTGTGCTGCACGGCGCATGTGCCTTGCCCAAAAGCCGCATTTCAAGTTACAACTACTGGGCGGTAGGTGGCATTGTGTTCGCGAGAGTTGGCCACCACTATCGTTATCTTCATCATGGGGTAGCGCTGGCAGTGACCACTGGCGGAAGCAAGCCTTAGTGGCGGGCGAGAGCTGAGCGAGCTCTTCTGCGCGTGGCGGTTGCCGGGAACGGTTGTCTCTAGCGTGGGTCCTCGGCGCGTGGTACCGCGGACCTGCGCGCCGGAGGCCGTCGTGATAAGTCGAGCGTTCGCAACGCCGCTTTAGGTGTGTTAGTGTGTTAATTACAATTGATGTATCGATCCGGCGGACGATATCGTCGTTCAAGAGTAGTTAAATAAATGTGTGCATGTTGTTTGGTTGGTATGGACCGCGTCTACTGTGTTCGTTCACTCCAAGAGCGTGACCTGGCACTCGCTCTCGCCCATTCGATACCCCACACCACATACTTATCAACGGAAGCAAGAGGGTTAAAGAAGACTCTCGATTCAAGCAACAATCACACAGTCGCAGAACGAGCTTTAAATTCTTGCCACGTAGAAACGCACCTGCAACGGTGTGCCCGTCAGCAACAGGCGGTGCGGAGCGCTGTAGTGCGTGTTGAGGATCTGAGTCAACTTGCAGTGGTGATTCTTCATGCGGTGACCCTCGTCAATGATCATGTACTTCCAGCGGATCTTGGCCAGCACCGCCTTGTCCTTGATGACGTACTCGTAGGTGGTGATGAGCACGTTGAACTTGCTGCTGCGCAGCTGCTGAGACAGCTGGCGCCGCAGGTTGGGCGAACCCTTGTACGCCACCTTGACCACCGACGGGGCCCACCGGTCAAACTCCAGCATCCAGTTGGACAGCGTCCTTTGGGAAACAGAACAAACAACAGCACATTTCGCGATCTTCTACCAGAGGAGCTGTCGAACCTTCACAATGCACCAGGTAGTGCCAACAGAAATGAACCGGCACACGCGTGCTTCATCCTCTTTTTCATCTTCGTGACATCACGTAACAACTAGTCACACGACTAAGCATTATGTAACATGACACAACAGCTACTCCTGCTACTAAAATCGCAGTGCTAAAACAACTGGTCATGTCGCATGTTACTGCGAAGAACCACCCAACAGCTAGTCATGTGACTAAATCTACAACATAGCTGCTAGTCACGTGACATGTGCGTAGTTTGGTGAACCAATCGAACCTGCAGAAAGATAGCCATGCCTAACCATACTTAGTACTACTTGCAAAAACTTGGAATTACTGGCAAAAGCTTATAAAAAGCTATGTAAAAAAAGGCACGTTTCAGCTCCTTTGCGGAAATCGGAGAGTTCAATGTAAAAAAGCAGGGGAGAAAGGGAGGTAGCAGGACAGCAAAATGTGAACCGTGCATCCGCCGCTGCGACTTCAACGTCGCGGCTCACGCTGGCATGCAGCTGTCATGCACTGACAATCCTTCAAAACTACAGCAAGCTGTTATAAAATATGTGAATTATAGAAAGAGTTGTAATTTTGATGTAAAATTTTGACGTTTGCGTCAGAATTTTGCAATGCTTTATTCAGTTTCCTTTTGAAATCTTTATTGTTGCTAACACGCACCTTACATTCACTTTGTTTTGTACTAGCAACACTTGCAAACCTGCAACGACTATCCTTCATCAAGGATTTACCGGCTGTACCTTTAGTAGAAATTAGAAAACTTCCTCAAAGCTGTGAGCAGATTTTAACATGGCCACTAATGGATATATACCAGGCAACGAAATAAAGCCACACTTACGAAAGTGGCACAATGATGAGATACGGTCCGTTGATACGCTTCTTCTCCATCAGGTATGTGATGACAGCAATTGTCTGCGAAGTTGGGAAAAAATAAACAATACCTTTAATTAGTAACCTTCTGGTGCTTTAAGATAACATTTCAAGCCTCTTGTTTCCCTTCAAATTGTGTTGAGAAACATGCCATCCAAGAATAAGAGAGAGATGCAAACTTCCACACATCTCATCTGCTCAAACCACGACGGTTGACAATGCACAGTAAAGTGTTAGCTGTATTACAGTAAAACGTCATTGATACTTTTCTGAAAAAAAAAAAGGAGCAGAATATAAAAGTACGATCGAGGAAAATGTACCATCTGAATCCAGCAAAAATGAGGCTGATGACTCCATATAGAGGTGTAGGTGCAAAGAACATTTATTTCTCAAAAAAACACAAATTTTCTGTTGCTGCCTCTCACCTTTGAACAAGAAAAGCTCATGCTGCACAGATTGCAGACCCTTGTTTGCATATTCATTGTTTTTCCTGCAAAAGAAGCTTTGTAAAACTTCGAGTCCAGCAAGGGCTTCGACGAGGTTAGCTGGTTGGCGCCCGCTTTCCTTCTTCCTGCTGTCTTCCGGTGCCTCGCCCCCACCTCTTTTGCTGTGTAGCCCCCCCTCCCCCCCCACCACCTCCGCAACAATGTTGGTGACACTTTGCAGCTCCCAAGTCGGGGCATTGACGTCTATTGAGACAAACTCTGCGAAGGGTGCGTCGGTGCCGGTGGAGAGGAACTAGTCACAGATGTCGTTTTCGCTTCGCTTTTTGTCTTCTGATGCAAGCTGCCGCCAAAAACCACACTTCCTGGAAAGGCTGCTCCTTAAGCAAGCTGCCATCAATGTTAGCTCTGGAGGCTCGTGCTTGCTTAGACCACTTCAGTAGCACCTCCTCCAGCTCCCCATGGTGGACTCCACAGGCCTGTCTTGTTGCGCCGCGGAATACCAAGGCATTCATTCAGATTCCTTTGACACCACAGTTTAGTCACCGATCGATTTTTCGGACTCCAAAAATTCGGATTTGTTGGATATTTCAAACTTCAACAGTGCACCAACAGGGTTCCCATAGGGCTAATGCATTTTTTCTAACAATTTTTCGAATGAATTTGCCACTGAAAGTTGAATTTTTCAAACTAAATCGCTTGTTTTGAGCAGCGCCACGAACCTGTATGAACGCCACTATGTTGGATTTTCCCCCGGCTTGACTAAGCTTAGTGGCTTAATTTTAAAATGGCTTTCCTGTCTCCGAGATTGGAAAGCAAACGTCATATTTCAAATTTCAAAGGCAGTGTCTGCTTTAGAAAACACCGCACGGGACCATTTTTTTGTTTTCGGTCAGCCGTAGTGGTCAGCACTGTCGTCATTGCACCATGCAGAGAGGAGACGGAGCTGCGCAGTGGTGGAGTGAATGTGCCTGCCACAATGACATTAGGAAGTTTTCGAAATGCGCACCACGAGCCCTTGCGGTGTGGTCGCTGTTACTGCGCATGCATCGCAACGCGAGTCGCCGTTCGCGGCCCATGCACAGAAAATCCGAAATAGCGTGCGGCGATCGCGGCCCGCGAAGTGTTGGGTGTAGCTTCCATGCATTTGAGTTTGCGGTCGGGGCGAAAGTCCCTAGACTTTTCCCTAGAGGGAGAAAACACTATTCTGGAACTCATAATGCGTTCGCTATACCCACAACGCCCGCAAACGTTATTCTAAGACTCCCTGTTTAAAGACTTCGCTCGTGTGAACGATGATGATTTTGTGCCCGGAGCCCACAGACAAAAATTCTTCACCAGGCTGTACCGCAGCCACAGAGCGGTTCGGATGATCCAATTCGGATGAACCGAATTGCTTTCAAGCGTAGTATGAGGCAAGGCACAATTGTGGACTTCTTTAGGCCTGCCTGATGCAATAAAGTTAATATTTCTGAGAAAAACTAATTTTTCGGACTGTTTTCGGTCCCCGCCAGGTCCAAAAAATCGATCAGCGACTATATTCACAGTAAACGCTGGCAGTCCAAGTTCGTTCGTTATACCGTTCGCTTCTCCATAATCGACAAGGTCTTGCACATCATCAACACCATGCTAGACGCTACCGTCTCAAATCACGAATTATGTATACTGAGCAATGTGCAGCCTGGCACAGGGCCCGGCCAGAGAAAACCTGGCGCGGCCTGCATATCCCTAAACTGTTCAGCATTGGAGTCAAAGCGGAGAGTGGGCCTCCTCTGACTGTGATATCAGTCGCGTTGTCCTCTGTGTCATAAACCACGCACGCTATTGGCTGCGTTGCGGGTGACGTCTATCTTGCCACTGCCGTGGTGCAGAGTGCATGCGCTGTGGAGAACCTCCACATGGGTAGGTCCCGGACAACTATCGCAGAACGTTGACAGTGGAAACAAGAGAGCTCGCATTCGCCGAGCCGATGGTGCAGTACGAGCATGAAAACAGGCCTGGGAGCCCCAGCAACTAACAACTGTGCACCGATGATCCGGCCGAAACACCAAATGTTGCTGCTGAATGATCGTATTTTCCTGGAACACATCAGGCGAAACATATTAACGCATAACTCTATGGGGGAAATTTCGGTATTTTGCGATTTCGTGCATAGGAGCCAGAATATCGTATTAAGTGAAGCGTATCCTTGAGGTTCTACTGTATTATTATAATCAGTACTGCTATCGAAAGTGAGCCAGCATTCCTACTACACCCTTTTGCTTGAACTGATCCATGCATTTATAATACACTCAAACTTCGTTTGAGTGTAGTCATGCCAAACAATGTTTGCCATAACATTTGTCTGGTTTCCCACAGACACAATGAAAAAAAAAAATAATCACTGAAGACCAACCACCTAACAGGCAACCTTCTGTTAAGATGAGCTTTTGTTGTGAGCACCAACGCTGCCGAACATTAAGATATGGGTGGGAAATTCAGGCGACTGAGGGAAAGCAATAAAATAAAGCACTTCATGCCGCATTAATGCGAAGTGAATCGCCCTACAGAGAAAAGAGCGAGATGAGCGACTGAAAAAAAAAAGGTCATCGGTCAGGTCAGCTGGTCATTGATTAAAAAAAGTTTCTACAAGGTCGTACATAGGAAAACATCTGGACTATAAGACAAGCCTGCATACTTCAGTCTCGACAGATGGCTGGAACGGCGCGTTACGGTCGTAGAGAGGCGTTGGTGCATTCTCACCTGAATGGTCTTGCCGAGACCCATCTCGTCGGCCAAAATGCCGTTGAGGTTGTTGTTGTAGAGGGAGACGAGCCACTCCAGCCCCTTGACCTGGTACTCCTTCAGCACCCCGTTGACCATGAGCGAGGCCTGCTCGCGGACCTCCTCCCGAATGGCGTGCGCTATGTTGTAGTAGTTCTGGTAGCCGCCCGCCTTGTACTCGTCGTCCTCAGCAGCTGCGGCCCTGCGTATTGACATGGTTGATTAACACACTTTGTGTTGTCTTGATCACTGCTACAAAAAGGGTTCGATAACAGTAACTACCAAGTAGAACTTCTTGCTGGGCTGGCTGATGCACATTTTACCGAAGAAATAAGGTACAAACGAGATGAACACAAGAAGTGAACACATTCGCCCATGTCACTTTTTGTGTTTGTGCCCTTCGCACATTATTCCTTCCGTAAAATCTTTAACCTACTCAGAAAAAATTGCTAGATGGACAAGACGCTACCATGTGGTGGTGACTGTCTCGTGACTTTTATCACACCGATCATGTCTAGGTTAAAAAAGGCACCCACTGAATCACGCTCTTGACGTGGTCATCCGGCTCCGCCTTGCCCGGTGTGCTGACAGGTTGTTGCTGCTGCTGTTGCTGCTGGGAGTTGTCGTCACCCTCATCCTCAGACTGTTGAAAACACCGAAAAGAAAACGTGGAAAGATCAGCAGGAGTAAAGGAAAATGGCACAGCTTTGCCAGAGCTCCCAAAAGCACCGGCACTTATGGAGGCGAGCGTTCCAAGAAGTGGCTCTGTCTTACGTGATCCAGAAGTATCAGCAGCACCACAACATTCTACATACAATTTCGTTATTAACACCTCCTCAAATGCAAGATGGCCTCCGGGATTTTCAGCGAGCCTTCAGCACTGTCTAGGTTTGTGCGAATAGTGAATTTCAGGTTCGAAGAGAATAGCGATTTTGGTCAAATAATTTCAAATCGAATTCGAATAACATATACACCGAATATTATAAAAAAATTAGCATGTTTGTCATTTCCTACCAAACCTGCACAATATTTTTTAAAAATTGAGACAAGGCCGGCGCAAACATCAATTCAACTTTCGCTAGAATGCAAGCGTTAGCCTGTAAAATATGCCACTTGAAGTTTGCTATACTTAGAGCATATAAGTAGGTATACCAAGCTTTTAAACTCAAAAAAAATGAATCGATGTGAGGGCAATATCCTCATTTAACCTTGAAGTGGGGCTTCGTGGCATAGCGAGTTTCCCCTGCATATGTGTTCTTATAGCTTCGCACCGCTTTACTGCAGTGAAACAACCTTTACAGGGTGACACATGTGGACTAATATGCATTTTTTTTTGAATAATTAAAATTTTCAAAATTTTAAATTTGATTCGAAGCAAATTCAAATACTACATTATTCGTTTGAATACTCAAAGCATTTGAATATTTGCACAAGCTTAGCACTGTTCCATCTTGGGGGTCATGCCAGACACCATGTTGGTCATTAACACTTTAGTTACTTCTGCGAATCAGTAACAATGGAGGTGGTTATTTTCTAGTACTTAGGAGAAGGAGAAGGAGGGCCTGCTGCTTAGCTTAGGAGAAAGAGGGCCTGCTGGTAATTTTACGTTAATAACTCACCAAATTTGAAATGACAGTTCAAGAGACTCCTTAACATGAAGTCCAGCGTACCTCAGTGGAGTCATCGGTCTCGCCCTCTTCTTCGTCGTCACTGGCTTCTCTTGGCGCCACTTCAAATCTGCAAATGGGAAATACAAAATCAGAGATTTTACTGCACAATAAAACTAGGGTGTTAGAGGGGACAGCTGCACATCTTTCAATTAGTAGATCACAGCACTGCCCAGATGTACAGCATGCTCTTGGGTCTGCCATCTCTTGCTGCCACTCGCAGGCAGGATTTGGTTACGGTTGTAAACCTTCAACAGGGCAAACTACAGTCGAAACACGCAATAACCAAACCTTGCCAGTATGAAATCCCCGCGGCAACAAAATATTTCTGGATCCCCAGCGAACGTTCATAGAAGCCCATGTGTATCACGTATCTCGCGGCAACGAAATGTTTTTGGACAGCGATACCGCATTAACTAATTTTCTACCACGGTGCGGGCCTTATTTTACCCTCCCGCCAAAGGTTAACTGTCAAAAATATGCTTGTATGCGTGTTATGCACACTCAAAATTTGTAAACGTCTGCTTTTGCCGCGCTTGCGTAGGTACCGCCATTTTTGTTTACTTAAATCGGCGATGGGGTCTGTGTCCGGCAACATGCTTGGCCACACTGCAGCTGGCTATGGCAAATGATCATGCTGGAATGCAGATGGCGCCATCGAACGAGCTCAAGAGGCCGAAGCAACACCAACAGTTAAAATCAATCAAAACGACGGAGAGAAGACTGGCACTGGTAGCGAAATCGAGATGAAGTTACAATGGTGCCTGAGAAAAGCTTGACGCTGAAAGCAGATTCTCCGTTAATCGCGGAAAAAGAAAAGAACGGCAACAATATCATCACCATGTTAAGCAGCCTTGCAGCGACCCCATTAGGGGGCGACACAATCCCATCCTGCATTGCTTTCCTCATTTCGTCACTTCCGTAGCCTCACACACGTGAGCACCGCGAGTTGTGTTGTATGTGGCTGTTTGCGTGAAAGTGTTTTCGAGATGGTGGCCGCCGCATGGGCTGCAACATCCCCGTCACTGATTGAGGCTTCAAGCATGCGGGCTTCGCCACCACCGTGCAAGCATCACGCACGGATTGCGCTTCGGCCTCACCAGACGAAGATTTGGACAAAGGTGCACTTGACGGCGAGAGTGGTGGCAGTGCAGTGCCTCTATCCCTGACCAACGCCTGAGGGGAACTTCGAGCCATCGACATCGACATCCGAGATAAACTCACCGTTGATGCGTTTGTTCAAGCCGATGACGATGTAGACGTGTACGCGGAAGTGACCGACGAGGCCATTATCGAAAGCGTGCGCGAAGCTGACGACACCGAGGACCAAGAAAAGACGCACGCAGAGAAACCCAACCTACGAGTTGTTTTAAATGCGCTGGACACCCTTCGCTCCTTCTTTGGCGCACATGACGACGACGTTGCAATGGACCACTTTTTCCAGTGCGAAGGGAAAGCTTTGAAGTTGTTGAATGGCAAGAGTCGGCAAAGTAAGTTGACCGACTTCTGGCAATAAATTTTCGTTCTGCTAGCCGTATCACTATTTTTATGGCTCGTACTTCCCGCAACAAAATTCTCGCGAAAACGAAATTTTTCGGTTTCCCCGGCGATTCCGTTATTGCGGGTTTCGACAGTAGTCCCAACTTGCACTTCGGAGGACACTGCTTGCCTGTCCACATTTTTTTTTTTTTAAATCCAACATCATAGCTTAAGATGTGAATTCTAATTCTGCACTGGTACAACAACAAGTCTACACACTCAGATTCACAGTTCTTACCCTGGGTGCATTTCAAGCCATGCGTCAAGTTGGCTTGCCAGCGGAGCATCCTTGCCTTCAATGACCTTGCCGGTTGATGTTTCGATGACGTTGACCCTGAGGTCACTGTGCTGTGAGCTTTCATCCACCATCTGTACAACAGGCAAAAAAAAAAGGGCAGTGTCCCATGTTAATGTCTAAAGTAGCATGCCTGTACGTGCCTAGCAAGGAAAACTTTCCTTTTCAAAGAGAAAGATGCAGTAGCATAGACATTAAATAACAACTGAAAGATATCATAACCCCAACAAAACTAGCGAATCATGTGAGCCACAAAGTGGTTACTGAACGTTGGGGTTTCACGTCTCAAAACCACAACACCCACCCAAACATAAATGCACAAATCCAATACATACATCTGAACCTCAATATACAGGGAAAACAATAACAAAAGTTATAGAACAAATTTCTCATTCCTTTCTCTTTAACCAGTGCCCTCTCCCCCTAAAAGAAAAATCTGGCTTGAATAGTTACGAGGTATGACCCCTACCCAAGCCTACAGGTATATATATATATATATATCAGTTAAAAGACATTAATTAGGCAAATATACATTGCCAGAGGAGCATGTAACAAAAGTAGAGCATGATCTGCATATTGACAAGCGTTATCCACTAGTACCTTGCTGATATGTTTTCCCTATTGATAGCTGTGGCAGAGTACAGCCTACTGATAATGAAAGGGCATGCTTACGTCTCCTGGCTACTGTATGTTAATGTCATTATTCAGTGAAAAACATTTACCACCATCAGCCTGCCTTATTCCCACCAAGTATCGGCTGATAACTTACCAGCTCCCGCCTTAAGCTGGCGAAATTCCACAACCTTGCTGCTCAGCATACTTTTCTGGGACCCTCAAATGCGTTTTTCTTTTCTTTGTGAACGTTAGAGATGAAAAAAAAAAAAAAAAACAGAGCAACAGACATCCATACCATGAATTTCCCTTTCTTGCTCTTCGAGCCATAATGTCAGCTAAATGCATTTTTTTCCCTAAAGCTGACTCTTTCATGACAAAACAATTCTTGTCTCCAAGCTCACAAACCAGTTTTCTATCCTGCTGCTTGTTGCACCTGGTGACCTTCCGAGTTCCAGCTCAATAGGTCAGTGCAGAAGAATGCATCAGTTACATCCTTATATTAGGTAGCGTTTAATACAAAAATCTTCCAGTATGAGCAAGGCTATAAAATGAATATCATATATATGTATATAAAGAAAAACAATGTGTAATCATCATCATCAGCTGCTGGCCATCTCATTGCCACTGTAGCACGAAGGCCCCTCCCAACATCTCCACCCCGCAATGTACTGTGCTCAGTTTTCATGTCCTCATTTTGTAATTTCATTTCTCAACCTAACCCCTACCTTATCGTCCCGCACATCGTTAAAAGTTGCAAAACAAGAAGTAGCATTCTTCTAAAATAATTTATGGCCTGTTATTAGGAAACAGCACACTGCGGGTCTTTTGATTCTCAAACTTCATTAGAACAAAACTGCACCTTGCACGAAAATAACTTCGTTACATCCAAAAATTCGTTATAAAGGTTCATTCCTTACAAGAGATCTATTGCAAGACTGTTTCTCATGTACTTTGTTACAATGAGTATTTAGTTACATCTGGATCCATTATATTAGGTTTGATTGTATTATAGACTATCATGCAAAAAAAAATAAATAACCACCCCACATGTTCTCAAGGTGAACATACATAAAGGTTCATTCCTTACACGAGATCTATTGCAAGAATGTTTCTCATGTACTTTGTTACAATGGGTATTTAGTTACATCTGGATCCATTATAATAGGTTTGATTGTATTATAGACTATCATGCAAAAAAAATAAATAACCACCCCACATGTTCTCAAGGTGAACATACATCATCAGCTGTAACGACGAATCCAAAAGATTCCGTCCCTGATTGAGTGCGAACTCGCACACTGCCTTTTCTTTTCCAAAGCATCTTAACATCGTTCAAGTAACATTCTTACGGTTATTTCATTGTATCTGTGAATGAGATATGAAAGCGTGAAATATACCCTATATGAGAGCTGCTGAACAATGCAACGAGAAAAAGAAACCGCCCCTGCTGCCAGGCATGCGGAACATAAGGCTGGCTGAATTAGAGCACCAAGATATTTCTTATCAGAGACAGTAAAACATTGCCATCAACCACGAAAGCAGCACAGCTAAGCACTAAACCGTAGTGTGAACTTACAGTGAAGCGCTACGTAACCTAATCAATGCATGTTAGCAATGTTTTGCTTTAAAAATAAGAATGGGCAGTATTCAAAGTCATTACTCTTCAGAATATTTCAATTAGTCTGTATATTGGGAAAAATTCGAATACACATTTTTCTAAATGAATATGCTACAAATAAAGCTAATATTAAACTAGTACCTAAAATTTTCGTTATTCACAAACTGCTGCTTATTTTCAAATCCCGGAGGTTCCCATAAGATTTCTAGCCTTGGAAAAACTGGTTGGTCACAAAGCCCCACAAAAATGGTTGGCAAATGCAAAAGTGCCAAATCAGTGTACTCACCGCATCCATGGGCGCGTCGGACGACCCGGGTGCGCCGCCTTCCCCACCGGCCGCACCTCCAGCGCCCCCCTCCTGCTGGCCCGGCTGCTTCTTCTTCTTTTTCTTCTTCTTCTCGCGCAGCTTCCGCCGCTGCTCGGCCTTGTGCTGGCGCACCATCTCGGTGAGGTTGTGGATGTACTCGTCTGTCTGCGAGAGCAGAAAGGCAAGCCGTCGGTCCTTCTTCTGGTCGATGAGCTTGCGGTACCCTTCCTCGTCCTCGGCCATGAGCCGCCGCATGCGCTCTTTTTCGACGCGCTCCTGCTCCTTCTTCTGCTCGCGCTCCGTGTTGGCGTGGTACGTGGCCACCGCCTTGTTCACCTTGGCTACCTTGGCCTGGACGCCGCGGTGGAACTCGCGGAAGTCTTTGCCATGTTGCAGCACGGCCGCCAGGTACTCCTGGTGCTTCTGGCGCCGCTTGCGCTCCTGCTCCAGCTTCTGCTGCTTCTCAAGCTTCTCGGTGAGGCGGGCCTCGCGCAGGCTCTGGCGCTTGGTGCGCTTGTATAGCTTGGGGTTGAGCGAGGTCTCGAGGGTGGTGTCGCGCCGCATGCACTGCACCACTTCGGCGCGCAGCTGCCGCTGGAAGTTGAGCAGCCGCAGGGCACGCAGCTCGATCATGGCCTTGATGCGCAGGTCCTCGGGCAGGTTGGCCGGCAGCTTGGAGAGCTCCTCGATGCGGTGGGCAATGCGGCTTGTCAGCCGGTTCTCCTTCTCCTTCAGAATCTCAATGGGGTCGACGCCCTGGGGCTTGGCCACGGGCGTGAGGCGGTTCTGCTTCTGCTGCTGCATCTGCGCACGGGGACGTACTTAGACGGGGCTCACAGAAAATGTCCTCACGTCTGCAGCTAAGCCTAACAAGTAATAACAATCTAGAACTCTCACACGTGTAAGTAGCTCTTAATCTTTCCTAATATATTGCACTTTATCAACTAATGTCCTGTCCCTCTAAAATGCAGGCACAGTCAATTACTACTAATAATTTGCTGCTAGGCCATATTAAAAGAATGTTTCTGCACATCTACTAAACATGTGGTCATGCCTAACAGGGGTCCCGTTTCTAGTTTTTCTAAGCAAGAACATGTGTATGTGCGAGTAGATCCCAATCTTTCCTAATGAGTCAATCCTTATTGACTGATACCCCTCTCAAAACAGACACAGTCACATTTTGATGAACTTTTATACTGCTGTGTGATATCAAATAATTTTAGAGGCAAAGATAATTTGAATTGATGCCTGGAGTACTATCAAGCATCCTATGAAATGCCTAGATACACTAAATCACGCTTAAGCTACGAGTCGATGGGGGGATAGAGCTACCTTTCTGACCAATCAAAGCTCCCAAGAAGGAAAATGCTGCATGATGCTGTAATCAAATCTGACAGCATCCATAAAAGCACATGATCAGAACAAAGCTTGATAATGTAGCAAGACAACTGCACTCCCTATCACTCTTCAGCAGAACAGATAAATAGAAACAATGCTGTCACACTGTTCCTTCTCTCCACTGCCACCTATGTAGCAACTACTGTAGCAATGTACTGCTGTACACTGTCAAAGCGTATTTTTATCACCGATAATTTTTACCTAGTCTTTTTTTTTATCACTCACATCCTGTCATCATTGCCAGCCCCCAACAAATGGCATAAAAAATGGCAAGAAACGAACAAAGCTAAAAAAGAAATATCCTCCCAAGAAAGGCCCCTGCACATTTTTTTTCACAGACATATAAAGTGCGAAATGAACATGCAGACACCATGACGCGAATGCACTGACGGGCAGTGAATTCCACAAAGTTTAGGGGAAAAAAAAAAAAGTGAAATGGGCATGAAATGACAGAACACTGACATGTTCTTATATGAACCAAATGAGCAAGAAGACAATGTAAAGGGCCGTCAGTGACAAGCTGAAGGGCAAGGTCATCTATACAAACGTGGGAGGTCACTTTCTGATAAGCTAATAAGTTAAAAGATCCACAGAAAGTAGGACGCAGAGGCCAAGATACCAGTGAGAGGAGGCTACCGTAACAGTAGGATGCTCGCATACAAACCTTCTCAACCAACGGTGCACGGAGTAACTGCTTAAAGGTGCACAAGTATACGGCACAAGGATTGAAGCCTGTGTTGTGTGCATTCCTGCTGGAGGGCCCTCACTACTATGGCATCGTACCAAAGTGACGATAAGATCCACTGAATGGTTCGACAAGGACTCTGCTAATCTTAGGCCTATCTTGTATCTGACATGCAGATAAGGCGAGACCCCTGCTTCTCAAGCACGCCACCGGGGCATGCGAAGTTGAATGGAAGACGAAGGGCTCTCAAGCGTTTCGTGAGAGGAACAGTAAGCCGAGCGGAAATGTGCTTCCAATACTTCTGCGCGTTTTATCCGTTTGCAATGCAGTCCTTTGTTAAATCATGTGAATGTGCTGCTTGTGGTTTCAAAACGGTAGTTAAATAAACATTTGAGCTTGCTGTCCACGTGATCTTCATTAACAATAATTTCAATCACATTTGGGCGCACATTAAGTAACCCCGGGTGGTCTAAATTTCTGGAGCCCTCCACTACGGTCTCTTTCATGATCATATGGTGGTTTTGGGACGTTAAACTCTACAAATCAATCATCAACGAGAATTTTAAAGACTAACCTCGCTACAACAGAGGAAAAACTACAGTTGAATCATGATATAATAAATAAGTAGGTATACAGTAGACAATCGATCAACGAAACCTGAAAGGAACTGGAAAACGTATTTAATTTAGCAGGAGTTCTGTTTACAAGGTTCAGCAAATAAAGGTGGAGCTCACCGAGATTCATAAAATAAATTTTGTGCTTGGGACTCACTCGAACTCGAGCTCGAAGTTCGTCAAAATTTTTGCAGAAGGATATTTACAAGGGTTAATTTTGTGCCGTAACTTTATTGGTTTATTTTTAATATTTAAGTAAGCACCGAAAATTTTTTCTGAAACGTTCTGGGCATATTGTCTTACTAACAACGTTTACAAAAAGCCAATTACAAAAGTCTGTATGATGTGCACACAAATATGGACAGCTTTACGGCGCTCACAAATGTCTCAGAATCCAAGTGCAGGAAACAAAATGGCTATAGCTTAATTTGTTGTGAAATAGCACAGGAATGACTGACAGCAACTGCTCAAAAAATGAAAGCTGAAAAAACGGAGCTAAAAAAAATTGGAGCTAAAAGCTGATAAAACAGAACTCGCAAAAAAGCTGGCTTTATTTTTCATTGGAGAAATGCATCTCTGTGGCTATCTTGAGCTCCAATCGGTCCTCTTTATGATGATGCCTATATGGTGGCATTTCGCCAAGGGAAAGCTGCAAAGTTGCATTTTGATAAGCCCAATTTTCACATAGCTTTTGATGACAACCCACCAGTAAAAAGCTTGTTTCTCAACTTCTACTACTTATTTTGATCGAAAATCCCACTATGATGTAAAACAGGGCCTCAGGATTGCAGAAAAAAAATTAATTGAAAAACTGAACATTTAGACTAAATTTACAATTCCCATTGCCACGTACCCCGATAAAACAAGAAGGTATGAGAAGCAGCGTGTCACAGTCATGCTGTCCATTAGAGCTGACGGCCGCAAGCTTCCGCCCTACATAATTCTGAAGAGGAAAATCATGCCCAGAAATGAGTGTTTTCCAAAGGATGTCATCGTCAGAGTCCATGAGAAAGGATGGATGACAGCCGAACTAATGGAAGATTGGATCCGGGTTGTGTGCAGCGGCGCCTTGGGGCACTGCTTGGGGGAGCTTCAGATACGTGGTTATGCTTGTCCTAGATGAGTTTCGCAGCCTCCTCACACCGGGTGTGAAGACCAGGCTGCTAAAGAGCAACTGTGACTTGGTGCTGCAACCCCTGGATGTCTCGGTAGACAAGCCGTTCAAGGCACTCCTTCGACAGGGGTACGAAGAGTAGATCCAAAACCCCGCAAAAAAAAAAAAAAAAAAAGCCGCCGGGGAAAATTGCAGAAAGCGTCCCCATCCACCGTGGCAATATATATTTCAGACGCGTAAAAACAAATCAAAGTCGACGCGTTGTCCCGAAGTTGTTCAAGAACTGTTGCATCACAAACAACTAGGACGGCACTGAAGACGATCTGCTGTGGGACACAGAGGGTGACGGCTCGAATGGTGCGACGGACTCGAGCGGCAGTGATAGCGACATACCTCACACACAAGTAATGGATTCACGGTGCGAACCAATTTTTTTCTTTTTTTTTTAAATTAAAATGCGATTTCTTGCGTCAACCTCGTTGATATGTTCGCAAAAGGGGGTGGGGCCTTGCGGTCATTTTTGGATTTTTCGAATCTAACCACTCCCCTCACTTTTAACATCGCAATCGTGAAAAAAAGGGGATGCTTAGGATCGAGAAAATACGGTATATACTATTAAAATTCGATTCGAAATTATTAGACCAAAATCATTATTCGTTTTGAATTCGCTTCGAAACTAAAATTCACTATTCGCACAAGCCTAGTATCTATGCTCGCGTTCTCCTTTTTCAATATCTACTCTGTGTCCGTCTATTTTTATCTTTTTCTCATTCTGTCCATTTACAAGAACTATTTCACTTGCCCATCAAAGTTAATTCTCCCCACACTATACAGTGAAACCTCGTTAAACCGTACCCGCGTAAACAGTAGTTTCGTTTTAAAAGTAGTGAAGTCAAATCCCCGACTCGGCGACCATTGAACATATTGCATTTTGTATCCGCATAAGCCGTACCAGCTTATCGCGTATGTATAGGTTAATAAGTAGTTTTTCCAATTTTCGTTGCGCAATCGCCGCGACATGTCGTCCCCCACTGGGCGTCCCGTTAGAACAGCAAGCCCCAGAGATTGAAACACGCCTCGCTTGTTTGTGTTGATGATGGCGACTGTGTTGGTGAGCGCCATCTCTTGGATTTTTCTGCAACAAGAAGCACTCAGCCGGCTAGGCTTCTGGTGCTGTCCACGCGATGGCGCTTTGCACAAACACGCAAACACAGTGTGCGCTTGCTTTGCTTTCTTTGTTCCTTTAGCGCCGTGCATAGGTGTTCTCTGGTTGACCCGTGCCGTACAGCTCTCGCGTCGTTTTTCACGTGTTGTGTATGTGTGCTTGCGCTGCTTCGTACTTGCGTCATGCCGAACTCCGCTCCTCGTGATTGGAAAGTCGGCGAAGCCTAGATGTTTCAAAGGCGCCCGGTTGCCACCAGGGGTCATCTATCGCAGCAACACCAATGCATGGATGACGGCAAAACTCTTTGAGGAGTACGTGTGCCTCATCGATCGTCGTTTTGCGGCTAAGAACAGAAGAGTTGTTATTGTTTTAGACAACGCTTCGGCGCACGTCGCCCTGGACAACCTGACGGCTGTGAAGTTGGCGTTTCTACCACCAAACACAACAGCGATTGCCCAGCCCTTAAACCAAGGCATCATTCTAGCTGTAAAACAGCTCTACAAGAAGAATCTGCTGCGCAGATTTCTTCTCGCGATTGAATGTGGCAAATTATTCTCCATCGACCTGATTGGCGCGATTCACCTGCTCGAATACTCGTGGCGGCAGGTTGAAGCAACGACAGTTCAAAATTGATTCAAGCATGCTAGCTTCAGTGTGTGTGCAGGCGACGCAGATGACGCCAATGACACCATCGACCAAACTTCGGACATCGTAGACGAAGCTTGCAAAACTCTGCTAGCTGAAGTGCAGTAGCGGCAGGGTGTTACGGAAGGCATTTCCTTCCCTGACTTCAGAAGCGCAGACAGCGATGTGCAGACATCTCCGGAC